CATGACAGGTGCCATGCAGCCTTAGAGGCCGTATTCAAGACGAAAGGCAGATTTCCCGTGACATTCGGGAGCTGAACAGAGATTATTTCAGTTTGACTTCAAGATAAAAATACATGAAAGTTTAACTGTTTTATTGGTGACCCAAGGACTGCTGTTGTGAAGTGAAACATTAACAACAGGGTGAGAGTGAGCGAGGATTGCTCAATGAGGTCCCTGCGCCAGGGGAGGTTTTAGATTAGATATTAGGAAAAGTTTTTACACTGAAAGGGTTATCAAGCATTGGAACAGGCTGCCCAGGGAAGTGGTGGAACCATCATCCCTGGAGGTATTTTAAAGACAGGTAGACATAGTACTTAGTGATATGGTTTAGTGATGGTTTTGTCAGTGTTAGGTTGATGGTTGGGCTCAGTGATCTGAAAGGTCCCTTCCAACCCAGACGATTCTATGACTCTGTGACTCAATGATTCTATGATCTCCAGGCGCAGCAGAGCTGGGGTCGTCTGGGCTCAGGAAGCAGCAGCCATGGCAGAAGGCGACAGCGTGCGGCAGGCTGTAAGGGAAGCCCAATCTGGTGAGAGAATTTTTCTAAAGCTTTCTTCTTATTAATCATAAAAGAAACTAAGGCAGGCACCAGGAGGGATGAGAAGTTTCTCTGATTGTTACAGGTTGACTAGTGACCAGATGACAGGCTCTTAAATATGGATTAAGTACTTGATATTGTTAGTAGTATTAATCTAAATAGCTTTACAATTTTGAGTCTATAAGGGCTGGTGAACAGAGCAGAGATGCAGGTCTGAAGACTTCTGGCATATTTTCCTGGTTGTTCAAGTGATTTGTTCTTAAATTACTTTGAAGTTTGAGAGAAGTGTGCAGGCAATGGAAACCAGTCTTGATCTGTCTAAATCAGTTAAGCTATGCTCTTTCCTGTAATCAAAGAATTGGGGAAAATAAGCCAGAAGAGACCTGGAGAGGTTATCTTGTCCATCCAGGGCCAGGTCATTAAGCCCAAAGTGTTGCTGGCACACATTCATCTAGCCACTTATAACCTTTTCTTGGAAAGAGAGAAAGAGGAGAGAAAGAGAAGAGAAACACAGATGTGGTTACAAGGGCTATAAAAGTATGGCCAGTGCATATGAATTCAAAATAAGATTCATTATTAAGAGACCAGTGTGGCTGAGCTGAAAATCAAGAAGGGATTGTACCACAAGATGAATGCAGAAAAAAAGGAAGAGATCAGTTGAGTATAAACAGATTAATGTGCACAGTACTGCAGCAGGAAGCAATGAGAATCTGAGGACTGTAAATGCAAAGGGAAAATGCAGATTGTCTTCCTGTGGATTTGAGAACCAGCAAAAATTAAATGATGAACTGAAAGTCAGAGAAAAATGTATTCATGGGAACTTCTGGCTATGCAAGGCATCTGGTAGCTGAATATTACATTCAAGCATGAATCATCCTGCAGATTCCCTGCTTGCATAAAGGATAACTCAGAAAAGAGAAAATTTTACAAAAAGCAGTCCTTACTTTTGTGCTTACCAGTTGATACTTAGCACAATATTTTCACAGAAATTCAGGAGGACACCTCATCCATTTGCCTGCTCTGGGACAGGACCCAATCCTTAGCCAGCCCCTAGCACGTTCTTATATACCAGACATTGGGGATCGCCCAAACCCCACAGCCCCAGCCACTCACCTGTCCTTGCAGAAAGGGAATTTGGCCAAAAGCCAAATTCTTTACTGAAAGAACTTACTTCTTTACTAAAAATAAAGTCAGATATTTTTCTCATCTTGTCCTCAATAAAAATGGAGAATAGTTGGTCTCTGTGGCTGCCTTTTCCTGTCAGTGGGTGGGGGTAGTATTTGATAGTTGTCTTTTCCGAATTTCATCTCTTTCATTCCAGGGCTGCAAAATGGTTTCTCCCATTTAGCAACATCATTTTGAGTTCATACCCTGTTCTCCCCCGGGCTTGCTCCATCCTGGTTTCAGACACAAAGGTGGCTGTGCTGATGTTCCCTTTGCTCATGGAAAAACTGAGGACCTGCATGTTTCATGCTCTCCTACTCTGATGGAAAAACATTGATAGCTATTCTGAGAGGGATTTCCCAGCTGCCTGCTATGTGGGTATTTCTTCTGGACCCTCTTTTCCCTGTGGGACATTAGAGACACTAGAGGCAGGATATATCACATCCACAGCTTCTCTAGCTTTTACACCATTTACCCTTTCGCCAAAGAATAAAACAGTCTGGTTTGAGAGTATTTTTTCCAATCTAAAAGGGCTGTTTTGTAATCCTTATTCTTCTTCTGGTGCTCAGAAAGGATTATCCGATCAAGTATCTCTCTGGCTATGGAGGAACACGCCTAGATTGTCCTAACCTGCCTTTTTAAAGGCAGTGGTGATGCTTGTCCTGCTTCTGTCATTCACAAGGGAAGTGGTTCAAAAACTACATTCAGCACCTGAAGGTGAACTTCACCAGGCTTTAATGATTTGAGCACATTTGAGGAATCCAAATATTCTTTAAGTGGTTTTTGTTTCATTTCACCCATATTCCTACTTGTTCATTTTAATGGTGTTATGTATCTTGTTGCAATTTAGTTTTTTAGTGAAGACAGACAAAAAGGACACAGCTTTTCTGGCTTCTCTGGATGAGCTTTTGTTTGCTCGTTTTCTAGTTTAAATAACAGGCTTTCATTTTCCTTCCTCTTTTCTCCAATATTGACAGCATTTCTAACACCTTTTCTTATTGCCTTTTGTGTCCCCGTGCTAGCTGTAATTCATTTTGTGCCTTAGCTTTGCAGCCTCTATCGCTCTATGCTTGATCTGTTTGTTTCTACGTGTCTTCAGAAATGCCACCTTATTTCCATTTGTGGTACAATTCCTTCCTGATTTTCAGCCCAGCCGCACAGGTCTCCTTCTATCGGGTCTTATTCTGAATTCATTTGTATCTGAGGTGCTTGCAGATTTATTCTCTTTAACTTGCTCTTGCTGTTTGCCGTGAGTTACCATTTAGTACCAAACATTTGAATTCCTATTCTCCCTTTCTGTCTTGGAAAATCTTCTGGCAGCTAATGGCCTAAACATTTCTGCAGTGTATTTGACAAGTAATACGTTAATCCCACTGACTGATATGCTTTTTCATGCTGGTATTAGAAAAAAAAAAAGAAAATCATTTAGCTTATGTGATGCACAGCAGTGTGTGTATGTACACACTCAGGAAATAGAGCTGCAGGATGCTGAAAATATTAAGGCATCACATTGCAGCAGCGTGGGAGCCCTGCACAGGGGATAGTGAAACCATTTCTGTCTTCCTTTTGTATTACTCCTTTAATAACTTGGCTGCTGTGTTTGCTCTTCTCACCTGTGCAAGGCAGAATACCACAGGCTTCTACCGGGAGTTGTCTAGAGATACTTAGGGCAGAAAAAGATACCACCAGGGGGCTCAAAAATATTCCTGCTGCCTTGAACACAGGGTCAGACTTGAGGGACTCAAGAGAGCGTGCTAACCTGGTGTGCAGGAGACAGGACCGATGTGCACAAGTCTGTTCCTTGCACTGCCCCCAAAGTTGGGTGTACTTTTGAGTCACTCTTGCCCATCAAATGGGCTTAACAAACCCTAACAAACCCTGGAGGTTGTTTCTGGCACCTGAGAAGTGTGACCCAGGTGAAAAGCAAGGTGGTGTGAGTGTGCAAGTCACTGGGGAGGCTGGAGGTGAGGACCTGGTCTGTGGCAATACAGAGGAGGTACCAAAGTGTTGCTTTACTTCTGTTATAGGAGAAAAAGGGAATACGAAATGCTTAGACCTCCCTGGCCTGATCTGAAGTTTGGGCTTCATGTTTAGCTGCCTCACTGGCCCCATGTTTAGCTGCCAAGTTAGCAGGAGTGAAACAGGATCCCTGTGGATCTTCAGAGGAAGCAATGCCAGAGCACGTGAAGGAATGTGGAGAGTAATTATGCTTCCTCTGTGCACTCTGTCACATCTGAGTCCCTTATATAAATGTTCTCCATGTCTTGTTAGCAATAACTGCAGCCAGACTAAGGATATGTGGTGTGAGCAAAGGCCCCTCTCCTGGTTTGTCAACTGCAAACCTGGTTCCTGTGCTACCCAAGCGCTAGCAGCCACTCAGTACTGGAGCCAGGGATGAGTAGATGAAGACTCCTTCTACCAGCTATGGGTTCTGGGTGTGGTCTGTACTTTTGCCAATGAGAGAAGGGAGAAAGACTTGGGAAAAGTTCTTTGAACATTTGCCTTTTAAAGAAGCCAAATGTAAAGGGAAGAAAAAAAAGCCTCCACTGCACCGAGAATACTGCAGAGCCACAGCCACTGAGGATGGTTTATGGGAAGGTTGTGAATTTTGCTCTGTAATTGCAACTGGCACTGGAAGAATACTGATAAAGAGCTCCTATATTCCCATGGGAGGGGTTGGGGAGGAGGGACAATAGGATACCTGCAGGGAGCTGAGCCCACATAGCTGCAGAGGGAATCCACGGGCTCCCAGCACAGCCTAGGATGCATTTGCCACATAGAGAGCTCCTGGATAATAGGAAGTAGAGATGGGGCTTGGGGCTGCTCTTGTGTGCTGGCTGCGCCCTCCACATTAAACTCTCCTGTAGGGAAAAAGCAAAGTCATTCCAGGGAATTGGTGCAGGAGTGAAACCTGGGTCACTTCACTCCTGGGACAGCAAAGAAATGATTTAACACAGTGCAGGTGTCCATGACACCCAGTGTCCAAGGGTTTGACGTGATGTGCATTTTAGTAGTTATGGCTTGGGAGGGATGTGTGGCTTTTCGGTGGAATGAAATCCCTGCAGTCCCTGCAGAATAAACCTGTCCTTACTGCATTGGCAGGGAAGTGCACGCTCTGCTCCTAAATCCGCAGGCTGTAGGGGTAGCTGGGACCTGGGATTTTTATTCAGCTCACATCTGTTCAGCATACAGTGCTGTGCTGGGCTGGTGCACGTACAATAGCTGGGGGCACGCCAAGCAAATGGGAGGTCTGTGCCACAAAGTGCTGACAGCCCCAACCTGTGAATGATTTAGGCTACGTTTCCTGACTCTTCTTGAACTCTGGAGTTGTCTTTCCTGGTAGCATCTCCCTCTCCTTTGTGCCCTGGCTGCACAAATGTGCTCAATTAGGGTTAACTCAAACTGAATCAAACTTCATGCCTGAGGTTGGAAATCTTCCCAGTCAACTCACCACAGCCACATAGCATGGTGGGAGACAAGGCGAGAGGGGAGATGAACGCTTTTCAGAGAAACGAATCCAAGGAAACTTTGTTCACTTTTATTTCTGCAGGAGATGATCCCCCCAAAGGAGATTTCCCTGTTCAGAAAAAATCCCCGGTGAGTGTTACAGCTGGTTTCCTTTGCTTTGCTTTCTGCTCAGCTTGCTCTAAACATTGCAAGATCTCTCTGTTCTTTCCTCTGTTGTGCTCTGGCTAGAGACAAACACCCTTTCTTGCAGAGGGTTGAAATAAGCATTAACAACTCAAGGCAAAAATCCCTCCACTAACCTGATTAAGTTAAGAAAGGGCACATTAAAGGGAAAAATGAACTGTCTGAATCTTTGGGAAAAAGGGTAAAAGTTTTGATTGATGACTTTTTTCTGAATGCTACTTTCCTTGTTGAGTGTTTGACCCCTAAAAACTGTACACTGTATAGACTTTGGGAAGAACAGGGCTTGTATTGCACCTGCTTTGAGTTGAACTGTATAGACTTTGGGAAGAACAGGGCTTGCATTGCACCTGCTTTGAGTATGGTAATACTTGCTTTTAAAGCCTGCAGTCAGTCCTGTCATTAGCAAGCCAACTATTTAACTAACGAATTTAAGTGCTGTGCAGACATTAACTATTGGATACCCAGAGCTCCTGTGAAATATTAATCTTAGCCCTATTTTCCAACTAGTCAGCAAGGAGAGGTGAAAACAAACATCTCCCGTCCCTGGCACTTTAAACGACCTTTCTTTTTTCCAAAGAAACAGACTATCAACTTCCACAGTATCTTTAAGAGCTCCATAATCCTGCAGATCCCGGGCTTACAGTGGTAGCTAAGCACAGCAGACTATCTGTGTGCTCACGGATCCAGGCTTAGCCTCTTTGCTTTTGCTGGGGCTCTCTGCTGAGCAAGGTGCTCCTCCGCGAAAGCGAGCAAGCTGCGTCTGGCTCTCCTGCATGGATGAAAGCCGCCCACTTTTGGATGTCCAGGCAGGCCCCAGGCAGGTCAGTGATACAGCGGAGAGGATACATGAGGGTTTCTGCCTGTGCTGGTGCCATCTCATGACATACAAGCCTGATGGAAGTACCCCTGCTTGTAAGTCGTAGCTCAGTGTCTGGAAGCACTTACTCAGGGTGCTGGCTCAGGCGCCTGGGGAGGTTTAGCTGGGAAATCACCGCCTCCCGCTCTCCTTTCCCTGCTCGTCTGTAGGAGGTGCCCATCTCGGAGCAGGAGTGGCTGAAATGGGTCACTGCCAGGTTTTCTGTCACCGCAGGTCGCAGCGAGGCATGTGATACCTTAAACCACTGCAGCTAAATCCAGCAGGGCTTGTGCATCGGGTGCGGAGGGGTGAGTTAAGGCAGCAGGGTTCCCCACACCTGGCCAGCTGGGTTGGAACAGTCACGCTCTGCATCTCCATCAAATGTTGTTAAATCTCATGAGTACTGATAGCGAGGTCTGTGAAAGAGAAGAAGAAAAATATCCCTGTTATACAATTTTACTTCCAAGTTCAGAAAATGCTTCCAGGCACCCACAGGAAACATAATTTGCCTCTTCTGGCTTTTCTTCTTTATTATGAAAAATTTGTTGGAGAAAGGTATGTGTGTGTGTGTCTGTGTGTTTGTGCATTTACAGCTTATATATGCCACCATTTTTATGCAAGTCTAAAAGCAGGAGACCCCAGTACGGTTTCCAAGGGAGCCCACTCTGTCTTACGAGCCTTTTGCTGAGCATGGTGATTTCAGAGTAAATAAATGAAATGAATAATTACATATTTACTCTAGTAAAGCAAAGAGGCCAAGGGTTTCTTAATAAAATGGCAGCCCATAAATAGTGAGAGAAAAATATATATAAAAAAGGACAAAAATATTTGTCTTTAAAGAGGCTGGTTAAGTAGTGGAAAGCATTTGTTTGTTGTGTTTTGGTTATTTTCCAGACAGCCACTCTTTTCTCTTTTGTTGCTCTTCTATAGTGTTGAGCAAGACAGCATCATTAAGCTAGACCCTTCCAAACTTGATGCCGTTGCTTTGGGAATCCAAATAAGCTCAGGTCTCTTGGTGGTGAAATAAACCTCAATAAACACTTTTATTTTGGTATCTGTATTTGCATTCGAGACTCTGGGAGGGAAGAAATACAGGAATTCGTTATTTCTGACACGAGGCACAGAAATGCATGTGAAGAGTTCATCTCACTTCACTGGCCCATACTGTGGCTGTTTAAAACCCAAATATAAGTGCAGCTGTTAATATCACACTCTCCCCCACCCTGCCCTGTCCCCTGCATCCCTCCCCATGACCAGCCCCTCTCTTCCACTAATTGGCAGAGGCTGTGCAGTGCTGTGAAAACCTGTTTTCCCTGTTGCGAGGCAGTAGAGCTAAGTAGCTAGAAGCTGCTTAACTCGGACGGGGACCACAGTAGGGTAGCAAGAGGGATGGAGGCCCACGCAAGGTCATGCCAAGACTTATCTCTTGAAACGTATTTTACTTGGAAGCTGCTGATTTTTAGCTGGAATAAAGTCACTCAGTGAAAGAGTGGCCACTCTCAGACAGATTTGACAGTCCCATCACTGTTTCGTTTAGTTTTGATTAATAAATTGAGTTATCCACAGCTATGCCAACGTTCTTGGGGTACAAAGTGGGTGCTGTGCCTGAGGCAGTGCTGGACACAGGGCTGAGGCTCTGCCTCAGTGAATGTGGTCATGCAGTTCGGTGCAAGTGAGCTGCAGGGATTGAGGGCAGTTGTCATGCAGGAGGGAGCAGGTTCACACAGAAGCAGACAGCAGCTCCCCGGGGTCTACCAACTGCTGAGGCAAGGCCTGCTACTAGGAGAGAGAGCAGTTTGAGGGCAGGGTAGTAGCTTTATATGAAGTGTAGGAGAAAAGGCATCTGAAGGTGTTTTTGCATCTCCGTGCATTTTTGCATTGCAGCAGAGAGGTGGTAGGATCCTTCCACTGGAGTTCCTGGAACTGTGAGCATGGTGGGCTCCAGGCAGTCCCCGAATACCCATGGAGGTCCTTACTGGGCCCATGTCAGCCAGGCTGATTTCACTGGGGAATCTTAACCAAAGCAAGACAGGTGTGAGGTCTCCTCTCTTTTTTGAGTTCAACCCACAGGCCAGTCAAGCAGCAGTGAGCTCCTGGGTTTTGGCCTGGACTCCACCACCCACGAACTGTGGGCTATGTTTCTGGGCTGAAGGCTTTCACAGAACTGTTGCGTTCTTATTTGTCTCTTGCAGAAACTCTGTGGCTCCAACTACCCCCTAAGCATTGCCTTCATCGTGGTGAACGAGTTCTGCGAGCGCTTCTCCTACTATGGCATGAGAGGTATGTGACCTGGGTCTGGGAAGTGACTTTCCTGTCCTTGGCTTTCTATACACACAGGTCTGGTGTTCTAGGGCTGGGCTGTACATGGTGTTTTTCAAAGTAAATTAGTATTTGGGGATGCAGGTATGAATAGTGTGCCCTAACATTGACACGGTACCTGCTCTGAGCAGAAACTGGGACTAGAGAGCTCCAAATGTCTCTTCCAGTCTAAATTTTTATATGATTCTCTGACTCAAGCCTGGTTTTCCAGTGTGTGATGTCTTTCATAGTTGTGTGCAATCAGCATGTTTGGAAATTGAATCATACAGGTACCTAATTTGCAAATAGAAAATGTGCATAAACAGAACTACAGGTTATGGTAAGATAAGCTAGAAAATATATTTTCCAGCTAAACATAAATGTTTATGAGCAAAGAATGTCTGATACTCGTATATCTTATTTTAGCTTTTCCCGTGTCAGGGATTATGAGGAACGGGTCTGAAAGCACAAATCTTTCCACAGCAGTGCTCAGAGCTGCCAGACAAATCAGTGGTTTTCTTGCCACCGTGATGTAGTTTCCTGCTTACCTGCAGAGATGCACGTTAATTATCTGATGTGATCTGCTTTTTGTCTTTTAGCTGTCCTGACACTGTACTTCTTAAGCTTCTTCCACTGGGATGAGAATCTCTCCACCGCTGTGTACCATGCCTTTTCTGCGCTCTGTTATTTCACACCTATCATTGGAGCCATCATGGCAGACTCGTGGCTGGGGAAATACAAGTAAGTGAAGACATCTCTCTAATTCAGCCAGCGTACATCTACACCATGCAGCTGGTGCAAGGGCACTGCATGGGTGCTCCCAGTTTTAAGCTAGCTCAATGCAGCAAAGATACACTTACAAAGGTCACCCTTCTCTGTTTGCTCATGCTGTTCTGTGCTCCTCTTTCACCCAAGGACCAATAGGCAACAAAGTTGGAACAAATTAAATGTCACAAGCACACTTTTCCTCCCCTGCCCTTCCCTACCCACCTCGAGGAAGCTGAGGTCTAGGGTGATTAACTCTCAGCTTGCCAAGATCTGCTTCTGAGAAGGATTCAAAGATGGTGAGGAAGCGGTGTCATCCTCTAGATCTCGCAGTTTCAGATAAAATGTCACTAACTATACTATATTTACTTATGCTTTCACAGCATAGGGAATGTGTGAGCACACCCATTTTTACGCCAGAGAAACCTGTGTTCACTCAAATCATGTCCCTCAGCACATCACATAATCAGGTAAATGCTCCCCAAGTTAGTTAGGCAGTATTCCCTTCCACTGGTAAATTGTGGGGCCATCATCTGCATGGGAGCTGTGGTGAGCAGCTGGATATTGCACTTTCTTTTCTTGGCACTGTTAGTTCATTGTCTGAGGAGTATTGGCTGTCAGAGTGATGAAGTGCAGCTGAACCCTTCTCTCTAGGACTAAGCACATCTGGCAGAAGAGTCTCAACAGGAAAAAAACAGCTGCCCTATGCCTTTCCAGTAAAAAGTTCCTAAGGAGATATCAATATTCTTTTTTCCTTTGTGCTCAATTTTAGTCATTCTCTTGTCCCTTTGAATGAAAAAAACAACAGTGGCGGTTTAGTAACTTCATTATTTAAGGTCACCTAGCATTGTTCATTGGTATTTCACAGTATCTATCTTGCAGCATGATGTTGTGAGAAGGTAAATCCTTATGCAGACTTTTGTGATAAGGCAGGAGACTTTCCCTGGTGTAATCCCTATGACTGAACGGGAGGTGGCTTTTCCTGTAGGAGCTGGACCTCAGCCAATACTGAGGACAGGATAAAAGATTAGGGGGGCTTTTAGGAATGATCTGACGTGGCTCTAAATTAGCTGTTGCAGCCAGGGTTTGGGTGTGCCAAGGACCACGTCCGTACTCAAAGCTCACAGAGCTTCATTTAGCACCTCTCTCCTAACAAGTCCTTCCACTCCCTCTGTGTGTGTTTAGTCTGCACATAAATCTCTTAATTCTGAGGGTGGTAGAGGAACAGAATACACTCAAGAGCCTGATCCTCCTAGTCAGATTTTTTTCTTCTCCCTTACCAACACATGGGAGGCAGATAGATGAGCTCAATCCTTCAGAGGTACTTGCAACAGGGAAACCACACTCCTAATTCGGATGTGTTAGTCAGGTGGGTTGAATGTGGGCAACAGTCCCTATAGATGCCTTCTGGTCAAGAGATTCACTTAGGCACATGCTACAAAATGCCAGTTATTAGTAATCTGGAAACTGAGTTAGACCTGAACAGTGCTCTTCTATTTGCAGCCTTCCATGCATGACAAGACTGGAACATTTTTAGTTTATTCTGCTCAGCAACCTCTGCAAAGAAAGCGGGGGCTATCGCTCCTTAATCTGAACACATTTACCAATCTCTTTCTTCCAGTGCACTCAGTGTTGACACAAAAGAGTTGCAGCTGCCTGCTGTACCAGTGGTATGAACAAACCAGTTCCTTGTGTGTCTGCCAAGTAGACCTGCCGTATCAGGAAGCACAGGTGCACTCTGTTTTCGGATCGTACATCACCCAGCACCTTCAGTCACTGCTGTTTGCTTTCCTCATAGGACGATCATCTACCTGTCCATTGTGTATGTGGTTGGCCATCTGATAAAGTCAGTCGGTGCAATTCCATCCCTAGGCAACAAGGTGGTTCATGTGTAAGTAGCTGTTGAAAACGCAGCACTATCGTAGGTTGCAATGGTAGCTGGTTTACACAGGACTATAATTTGTTTCACCTCCATCAGGCCAGCAGTTTGGGGGCTGTACGTGGGTTGCTTTTATCAGGGAAGGGTTTGGGATATGCAAGTAAGAACAGAAGGGTGGGTCTAGAGTGTGTGTGCAGCAAAGAGAGTTGGAAAGCACCACAGAGACTCTGAGCCCTTTTGAGACAGCGACATCTGATAACCCCTCCCTGCTATACCATGCTACTGGAGCTAGGTCTCCTCCATCCATCTCCCTCACCAGGCTCATTCCTCCCTCACAGCTGCCCAGCTCAGCAAGGTTGCCCTGGGTGCATGGAAACACAAACCCAAAGATACATTTACTGGTGTGACAGAGGAAGATTCTGTCTCTTCCATAGGGTAGAACTGCTTTTGCCCCCTAGATTCTGAACTGATGGACTTATCAGAGTAGTTCCCCAGCTGGTGTCCCTGGAACCACCGAGCTGTTTTTGCCGAGGTGGTCACAGCTCTAAAAATACGCATGTGCAGGCAGGAGCACATCTCATTTACACAACAGTTTCCTTTTGTCCCAGACCTGGCTGTTCCTGTTACTCCTGTCCCCTACAGACTAAATCTGTCGGGCCAACAATGGTATTTTGAGAAGTACTAGCAGGTAGACAGCACCCAAGAATGAGCCTAATTGAAACAGTTTTTCTGTGCTTATCCAAACTGGAAGACTACAGGAAAAGGCTTTTTTTTTTTTTTCTTCTCCCTTCTTTTTTCTTTTCTTTTTCTCAATTGACCTCTGCAATCTTTTGTTCTTGTACAAGTGAGAATCCCACAGATTTTTGATCTCTAGTATGCCCATTGGGCCTCAGAACAGCAAGAAACTGACAAAAGCAGTTTGGTTAATTGACTGGTACTGAATGCGGAAATGAAGATAATTAATTTGGGTTTTGCACTTATCTGGCTCATCATCACTACCCATGTGCAAAAGACAATGATACCAGAGGAATCATGGTTGGGTGACACTAAAATGCTCTCATAAACCCTGGAAAGGTTCTGCAACGGTGATATTTTTGTTCTTGCATGAAGGGTCCTGTCTATGGTTGGTCTGTTTTTGATCGCCCTTGGAACGGGAGGTATCAAGCCCTGTGTCTCTGCATTTGGTGGGGACCAGTTTGAAGAGGAACATGTAAGATTTCTTTTTTTTCCTAAAATCTGCAGTATCTGCTTACTTTACAAGGATGTTTATGTGATCAAATCTCATTGTGCAAGAATAAGGGCCAGTTTGCTAGGAAAAGGTGTATTAAGATGTGATGTAGGAGGGTTTGCATAAAATTTGAGAGAATCTATCCAGATTCTCAGGAAAGAAACATGACAGCAGAACAGGACTGATATCAGAAAGGATAGGTCATAATTGCGTCAAATCATCTAAATGTTAATTGGATGTCGGAGTAGTTGGAAAATCCTGTGTCACATATTATGGAACTGTAGCCATTTCTGAACCAGCTTAACAGGGGCGATTATAATGCAAGCAATGGAATACAGCAAATGAAGGAGAAAATTGTATCACCAGCCTATGCTTCTTTGGGAATTTTCCCTCAAATCAGTCATGGTCTGTGGCTTAGATATTGTTCAGAAAAAAATAGTAGGAAATTCCAGTATTTTGAAAGTAGTGCTGATACCACATCTACCCTGAATGTTTTCTAGGTATTCCAGAATGGAAAGTTCTGAAGAGTTGGGAAAATGTTCCTTTTTAGCTCTGTTTATGCTCTGCATCCTGTGAATGTTAGTCCAGTTGCTTTGTGTTTTCGTTCTCTATCATGAGCACTTAGCTCCTCACCTGCACTAATCTCAAACTCCCAGCACAGTGGCTCAACCAGGGATAAGGTAGTGCTTAAAGAAGCGAAGCAGGTCAGGAAATACTAAGCCTCAGGCAAAATGCTAAATTTTCAGATTGACCTGAAGTAAAACACTTAGATTTATGTTGACTTAACACAAAAATAAAAAATTCAGGTTTCTTAATGACAGCGTTCAAATCAGCAACTTCTGTGCAATGCGTAAGTCCTCAGATATATAGAAGGCCACTGCTACAAGAAAGAAAATAAACATTGGGTGTTGGGGCCTTAGCGATACTGAATGAATACCAGGGTTTGTGAACCAAGGCCATGAGCTAAAACTAACGGATACAGTTGCAATTTAAGTTAGCAGAAAAGTAAGAAAATGCGGATGGGAAAATGCTGATAGCAAGAATAATACACATATAGCATCTTTCTAGACTAACCAATCACTTAAGGATTAAGGGCGCGTGGACAACGCGTGATACCCAATCAAGCTTGCTCTATCTTGCGTCCTCGGCGCGTGATCGCGTGAACAGGAGAACAGAAAGAATATTTAAGAACGCAGCCTGTTTAATAAAGTTGGAATTGAACTTGCATCAATTGGGTCTGCAATGAGTAGACTTAAATTCAAGGAGGATTATTTAGGGCTGGCAGCACGAAGAGTTTTCCAGAAATAGAACTAGAGAAGTAGTGGAAAAGATTAGGACCTTTGGGAGATGGAAATTCCCATCACTAGAGGCGTTGAAGAAGGACATTAGACTAATGGTCTGTCAGGAAAGGCACTGGTGGAGTTGGATAGGTGATGGCTCCTTGGCCTTGGACAAGAGATGTGACCCCCGTAGAGCAGTCTGCACTTTGTCTTTTGCAATGCCCTAGCACGTAGTCAGCATTTAATAAATGAATAATATAGACTAGAATGTTTATCTCAAAATTTTGGGAAGACTTGTGCTTTCTGCACGTGAACTGTGTGATGCTGAAGTGATGAAGCTTATAGTTAGTACGGAGTAACAAAACAAGATGTTTCACAGTCACTTGTTCAAAGCAGATCCTTCTGCGGGCATGTCCACCCTGTGCTGTCAGTTGGACCTGGTGCTTTAGAGGATGCTGCAGAAGAGGGAGCAGCAATTATCTGGTGGTCACCAGCCTCCCCAGTTGGCACAACTCTGACCAAAACCAGTCTGGCCGTGCAGCATACGTGCTCTGGGAGTACAGTGTGTGCATACTAGCATGTGGGCATCCCAGCTTGCAGCGCCAATAGCTGTCCCAAAAGGATTCTAAGAGGTGTTACAGCAGCGTTTTCAGAAGTGCTACTTCTATGAATATTAATGATTAATAATGTTTATCCAGCATCTTTCAATTACCACCTAATTACAGTATGATAATATGTACCACTTATCTTCAGAGTGTTTTATAGACTTCAGCTAATGAATCTCAGCACCTCAGCCAGGCACATACATATTATTATCCCAAACTTGCAACCACAAGTGAGTTACAGAGAAAAACCTGAATTGCCTGTGGTTGTGTGGGCCTGTACCCATTCTCCAGCATTCAGACTACACCTCTCCAAAAAATTTATCAAATACTAAGGCTTAAACGTTCACCTGTGTGTTGCCTTCAAGAAAAACTAATTTAGAGAAAGAAAACTGTAAAAAGCCTTCTGATAAGGACAATGCGTTCTGCTCTATTAATTCTTTACAGAATAGAAAGTTTTGTATTTTACCATTTTAAAATGACTTGGCCTTTCAGAAGAAAAAGGTGTTTTATGCTATGTGATAGGAAATTTAAGTCTTGAAAATTGGAATGAGAAGTTTTGATTTTGTAAGGAATGAAAGGTTTGGGGCCAACCAGAATATTTCTCTCCTTCGGAGTGCTGTTTGACAGGACTTAACGTTTTTCATCTTCCACTCCAGGTAGGATGAAATAAGATTTAAAAATTCCAAATTAAATGAAGCATTTGATTCCCCCTTAGTTTTCAGGACACCAATAAGCTTCAGCTGACCCTTAAGTGCACAGGCTTAGTTGTTCCATCTGGAAACTAGGGATGTGGTAGTTCTGTATATAAAATGAATAAATAAATTGCCCCTGCTATTCCCATGTAGAGATAAATTTATGTTTTGAGGTAAATGCACACCATTGACCTGGTTATCTTTTAAGTACTTTATGAGTGTAATAGTATTGGATCTGCTACTTTGAGGACAGGACTACTAGAAACAGTGAGGGAGACTGTTTCAGCAGGAGGTCAGACAGGGAAAGTAGATTTATCTGCAGGAGATTTCCAAGCATCTTTGTCTATGGGATTAGGAGTCCAAGCTAAAAATGCCTGAACTAAACGATATTTATGATATGCTATATGAATGCGAAGGCTGCTGTGCATATTAATTAAGGATCAAAGCTGCTTTCAAACAGTGTGATATGGTGTTTAAGGTACTAAATAGCTCTCTCTTTGTTTCTTTATTTTCTGGTTGCCAAGGAGATCAGGATTATCATGTACAGTACTTTTTCTCAAATTAGCTAATCCAAATCATGTTGTTAATGTATGTCTGCTCTAAAGATTAAGAAAATAGGGAGGGAATTCTTTTTTTCCAATCAGTGTAATTTGCAAGCTGCTGGGTCATTATTTTTGTACACACTTCTGCTTTTCTCTGGCCATTTTTTTCCATGATTGAAATTTGAAAGTGTGTGAAACAAGATGCCCCAAATTCTTTATGCATCACTACTCTCTTCTCTTACCAGCACATTTTTATTGGTAATTGTTGCTCTAGACTTTGTCATGTTGAGTGCTGCGTGCTTGAGTTTTCCTCAGCTCTCAGAAATTCTGAGTCGCTGGGATACAAAGGGTTAGAGATATGGCATGAGAATTTGACTAGAAGAGGGCAGGACTGTGAGGACTCCACTGCACCACCCATGTCAAGCCATGACAGAGCTACTCTGGGAGGACAGATCACTGAGGCTGCTCATTTCTCTAGATTTCCTCTTGATTACAAATAACTAGTTACAAAGGTAGCAGGAAGAAGAAACTATACTTTTACTATCTTATCAGTAGAAAGTTCCAGGTAATCAAAAACACTGGTGAGGATAGAAATGGAATATAAGAGGTAGTAAGATCCAGTGCTGTTTGCTATTAACCATGGGAACATACTATAGAAATGGTTATTATAAGGCTTACAAATCCTTTGATCCATGATAAATCGTTTATGAATAATGTATGGACCAGATTGCCTGGGACACGCTAGGAAATGAAATTGTGGAAGAGCCAAAAGCTCAAGTTGATGGGGTCTTCATAACTGTGCTGGGGCAAGGCAAAAAGCCCTTAATCCAAGCAAGGGGACCCCTGGAATCCTCGGTGGGTGGCACTGGGAAGTGATGGGGCTCTCATCCACACCTTCCCAGTGCCCGTTTCACCTGGGACATAAAGAGAAGCCCTCCCACACCTCCCACCTGCCCACCTTCCCTGCAGTAATCCCCTGTGATAGGAGGCTTCTTTCCAAAGGAAGCTGCAATATTTCCTGTTGGCCGCACCATCAGTCATCAGAAGTTTTGTTACATTTTTGGATCCCAGGCTTCATTCCTTAAGAATTGTTCTCTTTTAGCTGCCTGCAATTTTTCACATTTTCTCCCGTTTCCTAGCCTTGTGTATGTTGTTGTCTCGGGGCGCAGAAGGAAGCAGGACATATTAGAAGGAGAGGGGACAGAACCAGGCCCCTGAGGAGCTTTCTCACACTCAGCTAAGTTAAAGCTTCGCATGCAAATGATTCTCAAGTCATGGACACGTGGCTCAAGGGGCTGTCTGCCAGGCACCGAGCCATGTTCCAAGCAACTTGCCTAATAAAGTGCCAGGTGGGAGCAAAGCCTGGATTCATATGGAATATATTGACTACCTGGGCCAGGGCCATCTTTTTTAAAAGATGCTTCTTTCCCTGACTCAGGTGTCCCATAGCTGGTGGGACAGATGAACATGGGGTAGGTCAGGTAGCCTGCTCTTCCTTCTCCACTCTCCTGGCACACCCAGGCACGGGGAGGAGGTTTAGCACCGTGTGTGCGTGTGCCACTGTGCATGTAGGTCTCTCTCACAAGCAAGAAGAGACTGCTCTTGGTTGAACGCCCTCACACATTACTCCTGCAAAAAGAACCAAACTCTGCATCAAGTTCTTGATTCCTTCCAAATTATGAATTATACAGGAGGAAAGAAAATCAACAGGAATCCGTTGACTATACGAACTATAATATGTTACAACATTAGTTTAATTCTGAATTGTTTCTCTTAGAGTTCATCCCTCCCTCAGGCTCTTGAATTTGCTCCCATAGATTTAATTTACCCTATCAGTTTAAGGTTGACTGGCCTCAGTTTGGTAATCTCCTGTGTGGTGGATACATCTAATTTGCTGGCACTCTCTCATCTGTGCTGTCATTACCAGCTCCTCAAAATACACAGGTTTCTTTTTCTATTTCTACACAGGAGAGGAGGGAAAAAAAACAAACAAAAAAGAGTTCAGACATGGGAAGAAATTATGAGCTCGTCAAACTGTGCCAAATTGGATTGAATTAGGTGACAGAGGATCTGAATCATGCTATTTGTTCTGAATAAGTAAACGCTGTCCCCCCTTCTTCTAGTCTCACAACACTCTCAAAGCAGTGGCTTTTCCTCTGAAATGCCAAAAACCCCCAAAGCGCTTCTCAAGTAACGTGAGCTGATTTGTGTGAGCATTTACCATCACCTGAATGCAAGCATGTTTGCTTAACATTTTATGCGCTATGTGTCAATATTTACCCAGCCTTCCTAACAAGAGAATTGATAGTGTTCAATCTGCAAGCCCAATGCTGTGCATTAGCCGTGACATTGATATTGTCTTCTCTTGTTTTAGACCTCGGAGAGAAACAAGTTTTTTTCCATCTTCTATTTATCCATTAATGCTGGAAGTTTGATCTCCACGTTTGTAACTCCTGTATTAAGAGGTCAGTGTTGATTTAGAATAAGACAATAAATTAGCTGCCCTCTGACTACTCTGCTGTGCATAGTTAGGCTTTTATGACAACTGAATGGCAGAAATTATATTATCTGTGGAGTGGCCAGTGTATTGCATTTACGCCTTGTTAATCCTGCCGGAGCAGCGTAACAGATTTATAGTACTAGCAGACAAGTCACTGAAACTATATTCCTGGTTGTATTTCAAAGCCAGCCTGAACTGTAGAATTAAAATATGAAAGGTGGAAGGACCTATATGATCATCTAATCCTCCCCATTGCCATTGAAGGATTATTGTCCTGTCTTGCCTGCAGGTAACCTGTGGATGGGAACTGATCTCTGCTGTCCTGTGCAGGTGTCAGGGCTGAAAAACTCAGTAGGGCTGGTTTTGAAGTCCTACCTTCTCCCTCCCACAGGGTGCTGCTGACTTCTGGAGGGCTCTGTCCTGGCACCCAGGCGTGTCTGCGTGGGTCTGCTTGCAAGATTGCAGCCCTGAGCAACTCGCCTTGAAGACAAAGCACAGGCCTATGCCCCATTTAAGACCTACTTTATATTCTAGCCAGCTTGCACAACCCTTTTGAGTCCCTGAGTCTTGCTGCACTTACTTCATTGTATCGCAGCGCCTAGAATCCAAGGGGATTGGCACGCTCTAAATACAGACACAGAGGCAGAGCAGCAGGCTGTAGGCGATGGGGATGGGGACAGGGACAAGGTAGGCTTCACACTTAGTAGCAATATTTTTCATTCCATCCCATGGCCTCTAGGAAGCTTTCTTTGTTCAGAGATATTATTTTAACAGGCCATTTCACAAGGCTTTGGACAATTGTCCATGAACCCGGGCAAAGACAAATGCTGTATCACTTGTTCTTTTTCTCACTGGTGTCCCCAGGTCAGCATTCTGTTGGGAAGGGGCTTTTGCTCAGAGCAGTCAGTGGGCAGATGAAAACCCAGTCCCCTTCGAACATCAAAACCTGTGCCAATCTAGCCTAGCAATAAAGTAGTTGCAACATGGAAATGAAGTGGAGAGGATGGGGAAAGAGTAAAATTTCTGCTAAGTGTGAAAGCTTTTCTTGGAAGAGCAAGAAGTGCAGTTCATAGACATTTGGCAGAAATGTAGAATATATACTTTTAGGTGGAGAAATCCAACTCAACTTTGCATGTCAAAAGTTCAGTATGCCCACAATGTGTCACTGACAGCTTTGTTGGATTTCGGCTGAATTTGCTGAAAATAAATAAATAAGTACTACGCACACACAGAGCTATTCAGCTGCCCGTGACTGCCCAGGGACAATAAACAGGAACAAGCGAAGGCTTCATGTGTTGGTTTCTTGTTAACTATGTTGGCTTACTTTAGCCATTTTGTTATTGTTCCATGTAAGAATGCAGTAACCTGCAGCCACTGGCACACAAACACAGACCCCACTGCTGGCTTCTTGTTTGCAACTGGGCTAGAAGCCATGGGTTGTGAGAACTGACCTGGTCCAAGGGGCACAGGCTTTCAGTGAACCATAGCTCAGGTCAATCAAAGCCGTGCTGTAACAAACCTGGCTTCCTGATGGGTTACTGCAAGACCTGACATTTGGAGCAAGCTGCCTCTAGTGAGAGTGCAAAGGTGGCGAGAAAGGGAACCGGGTTGTTGAAACTAATCCTGTGCTCCCACTTATTTAGTAGGGGTATTGGCTTCCACTTTACGTAGCTATGAAATCAGATTCAGGTTTTAAGCTCAGTAACTCATGCAGCTGACACAAATAATGTGGAAACAGTACTGTTTTTTTAGATCTAGGCAAATACAGAAAGGCTTCAGGTTATTTTAAATGTTGTGGGTTTTTTCCAAATTACAGTTCCCGCTGTTGCTGTCTACCTATTTGTCTGCCCCCTCCCTTCTACTGTTCTCATCAATATCCCATTATCAACTGCTTTTGCTGGCAGACACTAACCCTGCTTCCAAATTGTCTTCATCAAGGGAGGACAACTGTTTCAAGGAGATTCAATTCACAGTGTCAAGCACCAGCAAAGAAGATTTAAAGCCAGGGGAAGTGACTGATTTAGGGGAAGCAAATCAAAGGCCCCGGTAACATCAGTCTGACTGTAATGAGGTGCTTTTATTTCTGACTACTTTTTCAGGGGATGTGAAATGTTTTGGAGAGGATTGTTATGCACTGGCTTTTGGTGTCCCGGCAGCATTGATGGTGTTGGCGCTTGGTGAGTGGAAACAACAACGCTTGTAATAGGAGTTACCATTTTTGAGTGCATAGATAGATGAGAAAATAGACAAAATTACTTGCTTTGGATGGATACTACAATGGAAATTCAAAGGTTCGAGATCATCCAACAATTCCACAGTTCAGAACAGCAAGAAAAAATCACTATTTCACTTAGTGGTGGGCAGACCATGGTTTTACTGCAATCCTTTATCATGATACTGATGAGAGGGTGGTCTGGTGGATGTTTCAAAACACAATTGCCTCGCTCTATAAAGCAAAGGGAGGTGCCAAAGTGATTCTCCTGATGACTTGCAGCTTTGCCTGTGAGAAGGTTTGGCCTTTGAACTGCAATCTGAGCAGTCCTCAAAATTCTGCAGTTTAGAGAAGAGAAGCTTAGCATGCCACATCTAACCTTTCCACAGGCTCTTTACAGCTTGGTACCATCTTTAATGGCTCAGACTTTTGCTTCAGAGTCTGTGCGCCACACAGAAATGGCAGAAGGAGCTGAATGAGATGTTACTTTATTCTGAGCTGTCTCACTTTGTTTGGCTGAAGTAATTCCCACAATTACAGTGACAGCTTATTATTATGTTGCAATAAAAAGCCCTTATTGTCCAAGTGTAAGGAGGCAGCCACAATCACCCTACTTCCAAAAGCTTGCATCTTAGTCCCATTAATGTACTTGTCAAGATTTCTTATTCAACCCTTATAAAATACTCAGTAATTTCCACGTTCATACAGTTACTCCTTGGTAGCCAATACAGAGGACACCCCATTAGCTTTAGTTTCACAGTTGCAAGCTGCTGAGGGGAGCAGTCCCCTTACTATGCTGCATTTGAGAGGTTTTCACACAGCATGGGGTGACTTCTCATTCAGCTTGTTAGCTTAATTGAGAGACCAAGCAATTGTGTGATTTCCCCACAGCATCGGTGTCTTGAAAAGTTTGTCCCCCAGAGAATGTGTATGTCCCTCTCTCCCCTCGAACTTCCATCAGAGAGAAGAATCGGGACACTGGAGAAATGTCATCAGGCCACAGCTAACATTACAGCCATTATTTTCAAAAAAGTGCATGGTCACGGGTCTTAGAAGCTTGTTTTTTCCCCTGTGGCCTCTTCCTATCAGTTTAAGGCAGCACAGGCTCCTCTGTGCATCATTGTGTGATGAATGCTTCTAGCAGGGTAGTAGCTGCCCAGGGGGAAAAGGACATGTAAATATTGCAGTTTTGGTGAGGGCATCAATCGAAATGTGTTTTTAGCTAGTGTCCTGCTGCCAGATTCCACAGCCTGCCCGGCAAAGCAGCTCTGTGTTCTTTTGTAACACGCTAAAATGCTCTTGGAAGTGATATATTTGACTATGTGAGCAGCATGTAGAACCGGAGAAAATACTCTTTCAGCCATCACTGGCTCTTTCTTGGTGATGATGGAAAGCAAGGAAAGATTTAGAGACAGAATGGAAATCTTATAGGGCAAGATTTTCTGGGCTGCTTCAGTTTCTGAAAGATGGGGAAAGATTGATACTATTTAATTCCAAATGCCAAACCTAATGCAGGAACCTCAGTTCCTAAAGGAGTCAATAGCATCACCAGAAGGTGTTCCAGCAAACCTAATGAATCACATTTTAGAGGCACGAACACATCCAAGGAAAGATGCTAAAAATGAGGTAGTGCAACTACCCACTCCGGGTGACTTTGCACATGTGTATTTCAGTGCAGCTCACCTAAACTGACTTCCGAGTTCTCTCTGACAGTTCTGCAAGTCAGAACTGAACACAAATGGTCAGAAAAGAGAAATAGTGAGTTCCCTGCGATGTCCCAGGCCTCCTGTGTTAGGACAGAGGTGCCTGTATTTCTCCACTGGCTGTGGACTGACCGAGACAATTGGGTAGTTTAAAGCGTCAAGGTTGGTTTGTTATATGGATTTCATGCTCAGCTTTTATTGTGCTTCTCCCTGCTAGCATCTTTGGAAATTGCAATGTGCTCAGGGCTCTCAAAGAGCAGAACAAATGATATGTAATCAGATAGCCCCCTCTCTGACAGGATTTTGAAGCCTCGGTCCAATATTCTTTGTGCTTTGAGCAGGGAAAACCAAGACAAAACACTATCTTAAATTGCATATCCCTTAGTGGAAACCAAAATGGAGGTAATTTCTGTCAACACCAGTTGTGTGATGCAATGACCTTCATGGCAGTTTGCATCAAAACGTGTGTGAGAGGCAAGTACACAGAGCCCGTGTTGGGTCTGGATTAATCCTCCCATGGTTGCAATGACTCAGGGTTGATTTCCAGCATCAGGCACAGAAATTCAATGCGAATTGTATTTTAAGGTTAGCATACAAAAAGCAGAGATGAGGAAAATTTCAAAGCTTTGATTCCCAGCATGAATAAGATGTGTGGGTACCTGTTGTGCCTGACCAGATCATTAGAAGATGACAGTGACTTCCTAGGGATCACACTGCTTCTTGTAGGATGTTGCATTTTCTCCTATCTGAAGGCATTAAGAGAGTCCTATATATTTATTTTGTTAAAAGTGCAATCCTGTAAGCCCCAAGGGCAGAGGATTTCTGTTGAATACGGGGGTGGGTGATCCTTCCCAGAAGCCAATGCAGGACTGAGCCTCATTCGTGGGAAATCTCATTTGGAATATAATATTTTTCAGTTGTGTTCATTGCTGGAAGTGGATTGTACAGAAAAACGCCACCACAAGGGAACATCTTACTTGAAGTGTGCAAATGCATTGGTGTAAGTGTTTGCTGTTCTCTTTTTTTTCATGTATGACTCCGAGGTTGCAAGTCAGAAAAGTGCAGAGGGAAAGGGGAGGTGACATTTGGAGTTCTTTTGTATGCTGTTCCTGGATATCTTGCTGATGAGCTGGAAGGAATAAGAAACACATTTAGGTCCTAGTTTACTCTTTGAACATTTCAATTGTTTTTCCTTGGCTTCATGTTCAGTTCATGTCAGTAGAACCACTAGTGGCAGATGCTAGTGGAGACTGAGCTGAAGGGAAAATTCAGAAACTCACAGAAATTCAGATAGATGACTCAATTTTTTTTCAGCTGAATAGTTTTACTGAAGTTTATCAGTTCAGCAGACAGTAATAGTACACATTCATATTATGCACATTCAGCATGTTCATGTAAATGCAAGAGACACCTGCTGAAGTTGCATTATAGCGTTATCAATTATTTTTCATAGTGTGTGAGCTGAATATAGTATATGAAAAAATACTCTCTTATTATACTCTCTTATAGGTGGATAATGATGTTTCTTTTTCAGGAAGCTGCTGTGTAACAGCAGACGTTTTCTTTTTACCTAGGTCATTCCTAGTGACAGATTTACCTTGGGGAAACAGGCAAGATCTTAAGGATAATATTTCTAAGTGAGGGCTGCCACTCTTTTTGCCAGGGTGGCTGTGTTCAGTGTGTTCAATGACTGGAGCACACAGCGTAAATAAACAAGTTGGTGTCACTGATTTCTCCTCCAGTGAGAAACCAACTTGCAAGCTGGTCTAGGAGTGAATGAGAAGTGGGCTGCACCGGTAATATGCTAAGAAAGGTCTCCAGAACAAGAAGGGACTGAGAGTTCTGATTTTGACATTGCTTTGTGTAACAAGACATTTCCTCCCAGGCACAGTGGTCACTTTAAGAGGTGCTTTTTGGAAGAGAACTGAAGAAATTATGTTTAAAGCTTTATCACGTAGTAGGTTTCAGATCAAACATGGAACAATCTTTGGGGGCTTGTGTCACATTTGTCTCTGAAAAACAAGCTCAAGAGGTAGTTCATTCCCACATCGTACCTTTAATCAACCAATGTCACAGAAACTTCCCTGCAGAGAATTGGTCATAAAGCATCCAATCTGAGACTTTGCAGGTGTTCAACAAACCCCTGCAATTTTCTGCTGCTGTTTACATTTTGGGGTGGGGAGGGTGGCCTTGTGTTGGGAGTATGACAAGGGCAGGGACTCCATGAGGGAGTAAAGTTACTTGTTTTTCTCCCTAGTTTGCTATTAAAAACCGGCTGAAAAACCGCTCCCGTGAGATTCCAAAGAGAGATCACTGGCTGGACTGGGCATCAGAAAAATATTCGGTAGGTGATGCTCTACCTGGCAAATTTGGAGGGGAAGGGAGGAAACAGCCAGACATACAGGGGAGACAGTAAGACTGGCCTGACCACACCACGGCTCACATGCACCGGGCTCTCATTTGCCCTCTCCCTTCCCACATCTGTACTCTCCTGACCCTTAATGGACAGTTTAGGTGCTGCACTGAAGTGGAGAAATGCAAATATGTCCAATATGATGAATAAGTGCAACGAATAACTGCCATGCAGAAAGAAACAGGAGCTCCCATGCTTTGTGACTTGAACCACCCCCTGGCTTCTCACTCCCATCTTACCTTTTTGCCTGTTCCCTTTATAGAAGCAGCTGATTGGGGAGGTTAAAATGGTGACACGCGTTCTCTTCCTCTTCATACCGCTGCCAATGTTCTGGGCCCTGTTTGATCAGCAGGTACAGTACAGCGCGTTGCAGGTCTGCCTACCAGCCTGGCTTTGCACCCTTGTCTTTCCAGGCTAACACCAAAGCATCCTGGGGATGCAGAGTGCCACGCTCCTCCCAGGTATCCAGGGGCTTGCTAAGGCAATGCCCACCATCACTGCTGACCATCCCTTCGCAGTCCTGCCAAGTGTCTGACACAGGAGGGTGATGTGGAAGAATGTGCCCTGCCTACTGGCAGGTGTTACAGGGAAGGAAAGGAATAAATGGGAAATAAGACCTCCAGCGCTGTCTTCTTCTCTGTGCCCATGTTTTCTAGTACCATAGGTCATCTTGATTCTATGATCTTGAAGGCTTTACAGCTGTCTGTTTTCTCCTTAGGGATCCAGGTGGACTTTGCAAGCCACAAAAATGAATCCTGATTTTGTAAGTACTTAATGTCACCAGGGCTGGTAAGACTAGTAGTAACATCACTGCTCTTGCTTTTTAACCGGAGTCTGGCAGTACTAAGAGCATCTGCTTGATGAGTCTGGGTGAGTTGCACTTTTGGTGATTAGAAGTGAGAGGCTCTGTGCAGCCATGTTCAGTTCATCACAGCACATCTTGGCAAGGAGTGAGGGCTGGGGAGCCATCAGCAGCCTGCAAAGTCAGGAGTGCTGGCCTACTGGCAACCGGTCGCTCCGTGACCTTGAGCAGGTAGGGTTTCCAGCCTGCTTACCCCCACTGAAGACAGAGAAAGTTCACACAGCCCTTGTAAGGTTTAACTAGAGCTATTGTAGTTGTATATTTCTGCTCTGGCTTACTTGGTGATACATTAACAAAGCCTCTCAAAACCAGCAGGAATGTTGTGTATAGGGTAGAGAGGTGGTGAGGATTAATTACTTGGTAGCTGTACAGTTCTTCAAAGATGTGAAAGGCAAATGTGGAGGGTGCAGTGGCAGATAGATGTAGATCAACTATCTGCCTAAAGTTGCCACAATACGGGGCTGTTTTCCAGACATATGTTTTAGCAGGCCATCTAGATCTTACATATGGGTGCTCCTATGAGAAATTAGGATTGTAAATGGCCATTTTCTGGTTTAAAATTGACTTAAAGCCCAAAATTTGAGCCAGTAGAGACAGACAGCCATTCCAGATTCGACTCAGAACAAATATGGCAGACAGGAGACAAATCCCCACAACACTTTCTTGGGAAAATATTATTTCCTTCCTAATTTTCCCCCTGTTCTCTTTGTCTTAATTTCAAATAAAAAGCATTGTGTGAAATTCAAACACCAGCCTCTCCCTGGAGACAGCTCATTGGTCCCTTTTAGGAACTGGGATGCTCCCGTTCATCCCTGATAATCTTGTCAAATTGTGGAGGCTGGGTCCAGTGATGCGAGGGTGAGGCACCTCTTTATAGCCTTGAGGACTCTTGGCTCATGCCAAGAAGTCACAGTTGAACACTTCATCAAAGCCCATTTGGTGCCCTGGGCAGATGGAAGGAAGAAAGAGGTGTTTATGCAGCCCACTGGCTAAGGGATGGTCTTTTGTTATCCTTTTGGGGTGCTTGGGAGAAATTCCAACAGATCTCAGAGGGTCCTGAAGCTTGAGAGCACTTGCAGGATTTGGGCTTTTCCCATTACAGAAGCAAGGAGAGAGGAAGCTCCGAGTCCAAATCCCAGCTGGGACACTAACATGGCCATTCCTCACTACTCAGCTAGTTCATGGCTCAGCCACTCTGAAAGATGGGTCTCAGTATCTGTCATAGGCTGGGTCCCAGCTGCCATATATCAAGGTCTATATTGCAATATATCTGTATATTGCAGCTTCCTTCTGCAAAATGATTCTCATCAAACACTGTGTCCTTATATGACAAGTGTCAAGAGCACAATATCAGCTGCTAAAACCAACATAAAGCATTTGAGGAAACCACCTTTGCTGCTAAGTCAAACTGTACTGGTTGCTGATTTGCCATATATGCTATTACATTATAGTGTTTATGAATCACTTGGAATATCTTTTTGTTTCAGGGAATATATGTCCTTCAGCCTGACCAAATGCAGGTAAAAGATACTATAGGGTGGGAAATAACCCTTAGAAATTTATTTTATTTGTCATTTTTATTTTTCTCATGGGACCAGAGGCTTTTCACTGCTCCTTTTGAAGTCCTGCTGACTGCTGTAGTGTGGACTCTGCCTTATTGCTCACTAGCTGTTTTCAAAGCTTAGTTTGGGGTTAGATGACCCCAAGGATTGTCCTAACATGGAGGTTGAATCCTGAAGAATAGTGCAAAGGTGTGGGGAGACATGTCACTGTAATAGTTCTTGAACTACTGCTGGCATGTGGAGAATACAAGCTGTGTCTCCTTTTAACATGCCCCTGCTCTGGGGTGAGCATTGTACCTGAAATATGTTTCCTTCCTTACTTCCTGCAGGGCAGATGAAAATGTGAAGGTTCCAAGACGGTGACGTGTTGTCACAATTGATTTCAATTCTTACACTGAACAGCTCTGGAGAAATTCAAAGCCGTTCTGTTCCCTGAAATCTTCCTTCAAAGCTGAAACAGCATCTCTCTCTGCTTGTTCTCCATCACACTCTATTTTCTTGCTCTGCCAGTGCTGGCTGGCAGACAAGCTCAGGTCCTCCCAGGAGAAATGTAGTTCCAGGGGGATTACCAAGCTGCATGGAAGTGCGAGAAATTGCCAATCTCACAGAATAGTGCCTGTTCCTCTAGGATTTTGCCGAAGTCCCAAGATGTTTCCATTATTGCTGATTTGTTGTAAGGTCCTACTGCAGCACCAGAGGTCACCTGCTTCTATTGTCAGTGGGTTTTGTACTTTTTGAAAACATAATGTTTCAGCTCTCCAGGAAATTGGGCCAGTGATGCTTGCTTACCTCTTGGAGGGGAGGATATGAACAAAATGTATTCGTGCCTGTGAAAACTAAATAGCAGAAACTGTTGGAGTGCAAACTATGATTATATTTTAAAAGGAGGTTTTTAAGTGTTTGTTCATGTCCTTTCTGTAATGGAATTATTTCTGGAGGACAGTGCTTTATGAGTTTAATTACTGAAAGTTGCTTTCTAGTCACTAAACTCACATTCTTTTGTATTGCAGTTCTTAAATCCACTTCTTATTCTTGTCTTCATCCCAGTTTTTGACCTTGGGCTCTACCCCCTGATAAACATGTGCAAATTTAATTTCACGTAAGTACTTGGGGACAATGCAGATGCCTCCGTTCTTATTCTTTTGCAGCAAGTGTGCAGAATAGCTTTTAAGGAGAAGAAATACAAATTTCCATTCACCCTTCCCAGTATTGCTTCTACTTCAGCCTCAATAGGCGGCGTTATCCTCTTCCATAGGCCCTGGAAATTCTAGAGGGGAAAATGTAGTGATGTTGGATTCTGCTTTGTAGAGATTTTTCCTGAAAGCAGATATGAACAATCCCCCTTTGAATGTGATCAACATGTTCTTCACTTTATCTCATTTATCACCCCTAAGTAAATCCCTCCCTGAAAGGTCCCTGTGGGGCCAAATTCACTGTCCCATGTGGGCTACATGTGATGTTACAAAAGTGGATTCCACACTAGAATCTGAACCAATGAGTATATAAGGGAATTTCTGTATGGCCCAAACACTTTATTCCAGGTGTATGTTAGCAGATGTGCAGTGTAATAAGAGCAGACCTCCAGGTTGGTTCTGAGACCTTTAGGCATTTTTGGGGATTTTACTTCAGAGTATCTGTAGTCTGCCTCTATGGACTGATGGCCTTCAGCAGTGGGATTATGTTATGTGCACTCATGGAGTGCCTCTGCCAGTGCAGTTTCAGCTGAAAGGAACCCAGTTTCCATGCTCCAGCACCAATTCTCAATGTGAACCACAGTTTGGGAAGAGAGGATGAGTGGGAGATTGACTTAAAAATCATGTTCCTAATCCAAGCTAAAATGCTGGATAGACAAAACCACATTACTTGGGGATGGAAGGAGCCTCATAAGCCTACCCCTTCACCCTGCTGATCCTCTACCATCATGCTGAATTACTTGCACCTAAAGACATATCAAAGACATTGGCCAGCCCTGTGATGGTGCCCTTTGGAGGACACAACAGATGTGCTTCTCCGTGCTACCTCAGTGTGAGTCCATGCCCTGGACTGAGCCCCGATTTGACAGAAAACTTCCTGCCTGATGATCAGTTCACAGACTAGTTCACCCAGCAGCACAAACTCGTGCACTGATCTGTTCCTGTCCCCTGCATGCGGGATACTAACAGGCTCCTGTCCAGTTTAGCTGCAGCCTGAAGAGAGTTAGCCTATGTGGTTAAGTATTTTTTAATCCCAGGGCACATAACTGAGAAACAGAATTCGGGTTCCTAACCTGGATTTCCCACAGCCCAGTCAATTTTGAACGCAAATCCAGACCATTACAAAGAGTGGAGACCACTGAATCTAGAACCAGATTTGTTTCAAATCTCAACAACTCAATGAGCAGTTTGGACCTGCCGTTCTGGACCTATTTTATTCTGCTTTATATCAGATTGTCTCAAGTAACTCTGGTAGAGTTGCACTAGTTTTGCTCTGAGTTCAGAAGCAAGCTCTTTATTCTCTAGAAATGTAAATGTATTGGCATGAGAAAGAACCCAGAATGATGCCACAGATGGTCAGAAACATTGATGACACAAACTATACATTTTTCTTCTCCTCATTCCTGCTGCTAAAGAGCGTGCTGCTTTTCTTTTGCCTTTCCCCAAAGGGACTTGAAGATATATCATTTCTAGTGCTCCTTCCAACATCACAGGTTAACATAATGCCATGAGCTATTCCCACTAGAACAGCTAGGAACAAGATAATATGAAACTTGCAAGTAAAGAGCTTTTTTTCATGGCATATCAGTTTTAATTGGCCTCAGTGCTGGCCTCATACAGAATAATAGAATAGTTTTAAGTTAAATGATTGGCAATTTAAACAGCATGTCATCCCCAGTGCCACCTGTTGGACAGTTTATTACATGGTTTTGGCACATCTTTGGCTCTGAGGAATGGTATTCTGTATTTTAAATTACTTTTTTGTTTCTTAATGGCACCTCTTTCATTTGCTCCATAGACCTATTAGGAAAATGGCAACAGGTATGATCCTTGCAGGGGTGGCGTTTGGACTTGCAGCCATTGTAGAAATCAAAATAAATGTAAGTATAGCACAAGGGATTCCTCAGAAATATTCTTTCCCTGGGTTATTTTAATTGATAGTTAGATAATCCTTTTAAACGTTGTGTTCCTTGATCATAATGTTTAATACGTTCTTTACAATTAAGCATACTGACCCAATGGCTAATGATAATTCTTATATTGTCTACTTTTCCCTCTCTCTCTTTCTGTCTCTCTGTATCAGTCTCTTTCTTTCTAGTCTTTGCAGTTGTGCTGTGCCGGTCATCTGTATTGGTCTATATTCTAGATTTCCATCGTCAAAGTGCTTGACAGACATCTAGTTAATGCTAGTGATTAATTCCCAAAAGGTAGTCTATTCTCTCTCCTACTTCTTGCTGCAGCTTGCCAATATTTTACTGTTGGGGTGGGTGGGTTGTGTGGTGGTTTTGCTTTTTAAATTTAATTCCTCTCCTCCTTTAGGGTGGGGATGTGTTTTGTGTTTTTTTTTTTTACAAGCCAAACTGATTCCCTGGTGTAGCAGGTGAATGGTCACTTGTGTAGTCAGTCATAGGCACCAGGGACTGCCAGGCATCCCCAGACAGGGTAGCAGCAAATCTCTTGTAAATTCGATGTTAGTCCCTGCAGATTTATACCGTTTGTTTCTGGCCTGTGACCAGCCTTGTGCAGACTTTGGCTGACCTTTGGCTCACCAGAGTTACAGCAGGATTAATTGTTAAAGCTTCCAAGTATACTTAAAATGTTCTGTTAGAGTGGCTGGCACACAGCCCTGGATTAACATCTGCTGGTTCCTCAGGTGAATACACTGACAAGTCTCCTGCTGAAATGAGACTTTGTGGGTTCAGGTCTTCTTTGCCAACCTCTTTATGTAAGCAAAGAAATGCTGTCATTGTCACCACCACCAGCTCTGGCCGAGCACTGAAAGTCTGCTCTGGCTGTGGGTGACTCCTCTGTGCAGAGGCAAGGTGAGTTAGACGTTCACCCCTTCCTGTGCATGGAAACTTTACCCTGAAGGCCACCAAAAGTCTTCTAGCAAAGGCTTGGTGGGGATAGGATGGCCCATCTTGGCTTGGCTGTGGGTAGTGCAGGCGAAAAGCCATAGTAATGGGATTTGCTGGATACCATTAACAGTCCTGTTGGTCTAGAGCACCATATGGGTACAGGGAAATCACTGTCACCCTGTCTTCTCTGACAGTGTGTCTCCTCACTGAGTTAGGTTCAAACTATCCAGCCTGCAATATCCAAATTATAGGATGAGATAGAAGAAAAATTAATAGCTCTGACGTATTGCTGGCAGCTACTAGAAAATAAAGTGAGAAAAGAGAGAGGTTTTTGAAAAAATAATTCAATTTTAGATCTGCAGATAGTGCAAGGCTGACGCTGATTGAAATACTCTTTCTAGGAAATGTTTTCTGACAGAAAGAGATACCTCTGTGCTGGAGGCATCATCCTCCCTTTCTCAGAAAACAGGGAATAAGATCTATACGGTTGGCTGTTAGATAGCATGGTGTCAAGTGATGCAAAAGCACAGATTATGGACATGGAGCTGGACTGGGATTTTCAAAACTGTTTAGCTTCTGGCCTAATTCTTTTCCCAGTCACTGACTGCAGTGGGAAATAATTATTCTGGTCACTGCTTTCGAAAGCTAAGCACATTTTTTTCTATTCTGATATGGCAGTTGGTTAAATCCAGACACTAGGGAGCTGTATAATAAAACCTATGACTTTGTTCTACCTGCCCAGCAGTTGTGTAGCCTGTACTCTTAGGCTTTTGAAGAGCAGCTTTTGGGAGGAACAACAGGTTGGCTATTGAGCTACTATGAGGAAACCTCCCTAAATAAGATTTACGTTCAGTTTTCTCTCACTACAACCTCTGATGAGGAAGGGATGGAAAAGTGTCATTACAGAGAGGAAGACTATTATGGCTAAAAATGAAGAGATATTGAAGTGCTAATAAAGCATACAGATGGCACTTAAAGCCTTTTATTTTAATTAGGAAACTGATATGCCTCAACTTGCCCCAGAAGAGAGTTTAATTCGGGTCCTGAATTTGGCAAAGAACCCTGTTCAAGTAACAATCCAAGACCGGGACCTATTTCAGCAGCCTGTAGGGGCTTTTCAGGTAAGCAGATATACGGGGCTTGGAAGGCCTCCTGTAGGGGCTTTTCAGGTAAGCAGATATATGGGGCTGGAAGGTGGAAGGTGGACTTGCACCACATTGAAGGACAGGTGGGATTTTTTTCAGATACTTTCTAATAAAGCCCACAGATGCTAGAGCTTGTTCTCCTCCACCGCCTTAGAAGTGCGTGGGAATAGCTTTATACTTTCTAATAAAGCCCACAGATGCTAGAGTGTGTTCTCATCCACAGCCTTAGAAGTGTGTGGGAATAGCTTTAAAATGGAGCATATTGTCTCCATTGATGAAACAGAAAGGGAAAGTTTGGTGACTTATTTCCATGGCAAAGGAGAAAATGGCTAACTACATTCACCTGCCATTAGGAATAGAATAAAGGATAATTGTCCTGTGATGAGCAGGTAGCATGTGAGCCTTCAGCTCACATCTCAGTGTTCAGAGCAGGAGGATAATTGTCCTGTGATGAGCAGGTAGCACGTGAGCCTTCAGCTCACATCTCAGTGCTCAGAGCAGGCATTGCTGCTGGGGTCTGGGTGGCATCTGAAAAGTATTTGGCTGCAAAGGAGGAAATGGGAAGGCAACTAACTGGGCATGGGCACTGGGTTGATTCCTGTTTCAGCTTCCAGTTGCTTTACAGGTCAGGCAAGTTTGGGACTCAGTCCAGCAGTCAACTGGCCACCAGCTGCCTGCCCTGTTTTAGATGTTGTCCCATTGAGGCAGAGCAGTGCCAGGGAAAGGGGTAGCTGTGTGGGCAGAAGGTGCGCCCTGGCCTTCAGGTTGCATCCAACAAGGGAAGGTCCTCCAAGCTCTGGCTTCACCAGCCCAAAGCCTATAGGTCAACATAGGTCCTTTGCTGTAGAAGACAGCTCTGACTGTTAAACCTCTTTTCAGAGGCTCCCTTGAAGAGAGGACAGGGTTGTACTTGGTGGGGAGGGCCAGACGCTTTTTCATCTGAAGAAAGTGTAACTAAGTTTGTTTTTTCCACAGAACCCAGCTGAGTACTCAAAATTAATATTGAATGGAGAGCAACAGAACTTTCAGTTCACCCTGCAACATCAAGGACTGTCTCTTGCTTTTAACTACACCGTGAAGGAAAAATCAGTATACAGCTTAATTGTTTTTGAGGCAGAAGGAAGCCTATCAAGCCGCTTAGTGAGTGTGGGAGTGAAGTGTAAATACAGTATTAATTCAATGGCTGTGATGATACAATGGGGTAATAGGCTCATTAATTCATTTGCTCAGTTGCAGTGTCTGTCTGATTGCTCTCAGATGCTCTAAACCTGACTTCTTAGCTAGCGGCACTGGATCTGTATGCATTTCTGCTGGTTGATTAATAGAGGCATTATGGCATCTGAGGGTTTCTGGGCACACTTTAATCCAGTGAATGCTGCAGTGGGAGAGCAGAGTCATGCCTGCTAGGCAGCAGAGCTTGGGAAAGATGAGGAAACAGAGGGCCAGAGGTTTCCCCCCGAAGATGGCTCCATAAAGCAAAGATATTAAAGAGGCTCTAGGGCTGGGCATGGAATAAAAGCATCAGAGGAATGATTCTGGGTTTAGTTATTGTGTGTGTTTAGTGAAAATGCACAGAAGGCCCATTTGTTTTGCTGAACAGAATAAATGATTAAGCTCATTTCAGGCTCTGCAGCAGAGCCAGCTGCATTTGGACTTTTGTGTATTGCCACAACAATTGGAGAGAGGCATATGGGATGTATAGGGCCAGATTCTGATATCTTTTACATGCAGCTGTATCCTGAGAAGCTTGAATTGTGTGGTGTTATTGCACATTGTGGCAGGTGTGTATGTATGTGTGTAAATGCCATCAGAATCTGTCCTCATGCTAAAATAACAATTCTCTTTGCAGTTCCTCAGCCTCCTACTTTGCAGGGTTGCCATACTGAGCATTCAGTATTATATAGTAGAAATAACATAACTGTCTTTAAAAATGAGGAGTTTTAAGAATTTATTTTTTCCTAACATTGGGGGTTTTTTCTGCTTTATGGTTTAGAGCCTGTCACACGATGTCAAGTTTCCCTGTGACCCTGATGACTGTGTCCTGTTACCTTAAGAAATGGATACTTATGCAGTGATTTTCATACAGTCCTTACAAAGAGAAAGCCTGCGACAGGGTTGAGCAAAGCAATCTGAGCTTCAGTGCATCTCTGTGCTGCCCCAGCTATCTAGCCTGTGCTTAAATTAACGCCCACCCTGGCACGGGCAGGCGCTGGGGAACAGCAGTGCTGTTGGGTGATGCTATTGACCTGTCAGTCGCAGCTGTTGATAAGGGAGGTGTGGAAGACAGTGTGATAAATGATGCTCACTTTTCCAGCATTGCAACAGGAGGAGGGCAATGCCAGCATCACTGCTGTGTTGTGAGGCTTGCCCTGGAGTAGCCACGGCCCACGCCAGCCTCCCTCACTGCTGGATTTGGCCCCCTCACTCATTTTGGGGGGGTTTTCCTGGAAGGAGCCAGTCTGAAATCAGTTTATTCTCTTTTGTGGGCTGTTAAGTGGGCAGGAAATGAATTTGAGGGCTCTGGGAATCATCGATGAAAATGAGTAATAATTTGACTGGCCTGTCTGCAGTGAACTAGAGTGCTAATCCCCATGTGTCTCCCATGGAAAAAAAATGTTGTTGTTTATTATTTATTGCTCTGACATTTATTATTCACTGTAGCTATTTATTATTTAGGACATACATTATTTGTGGATCAGCCTATCACACTGAAGTACAGTATTTTTTAGGTATAGGCATCTTATAGGTATACCAAAATTCTGGATCCTTGGTCTCAGAAGCTCAGGGTTTAACATCAGGAAGAAAGTGCGGAGAAAGGGCTAGAAATTTTAAGAGAGAGCCAGTTTCTGAAGGTAGAATCAGTCCCTTTTGGCTTGCCTGGGTTTCGTCTGTGAGTACCACAAATTGAAATTGCCCTGCCAGCTTAAGCGGGCATGGCACAACTGTGGATTTCTACCAGCTCCTTATTATTTTTGTGTGACATACAATCTTCATGGCAGGGCTTTGTCCTTACTGCCTTTTTTCAGCATTGTACACCAAATAGGCTCTCCACAAAAGGATGTACATCATGGTAACTACTGAGCTGATGCTCGAGCTGTGATCTCCAGGAGAGGCGCTTTCACTCCCCAGTAAGCCCAGTCAGGTGGCTGTTTCAGGAATGTTTCTGCAGAGACTATGGGCACAAAGAAGCCCAGTGCGCTTGGTCTCTCCTGCTCTCTGCCAGCACCATACAACAGTTTAATCTCTTGAGTGTTGAGAGTCAGGGAAGATGTGGATGGTACATGACGATCAGAATAGTAACCTAGAGCTTCCTCTTGGCTTTAGGCTTCTGTGAAGTCTATGAGTATGCCAAGAACCAAGATCTGAAAGCCAGAAAGTTGCAGGTTTTGTAGGAGTAAGGCTGTCATGTTTCATTGCAATTCATCATTGAAAGAGGCTAATGTGGATAATGCTTTCTTGCTATCTTCAGATCAAGACAAATACATTTTGGGAGGGTGTTACTTGCTTCAGTTAGAAGGGTGACCGGCTGAAACTCTGTAGCCTTTTTTACATAGGAGATGAGGGAAAAAAATGGTATGGTCTCATCTGAAGCCCTTGGTGGAGCTGAAATTTTGCCATTGGCTTCATTGTGCTACACTTCTGTGGCCTGATGTCAAGCTTCTGTGAGGGTCCGGTTGATTTCCATGGGCTTTGCCACATGCGTTCAACAAGAGATGCTGGTATTTTCTGCTACATGTTATTTATAAGGAAACATTAATAAATGTTTGATTTTTTCTTTTCTTCCCCTCTTTAGATTACAGACCTGGAAACAAAGCCAGAAAATGGTTTGACAGCTGTTAGGTAGGAATGGCTTTTTTCAGGATTTGGAGGTGGTGGGGTGAGGGCAACTGCTTTTGTCTAATGCAAACTGTATGTAACGTAACCCAGATGTTCTCAGGTTGGAATCTAGTCCACACTTCTCATGCAAGACTTGGTGTCAGCTGTGGAGGCTTGACAACGTGTCACCTCCCACACTTGCCATGCAGAGCTGAGCGTTATTGCTGCTTACTGCCTAGGATAGTCTGGGCTGAGATGGCAACATAAAAGATCTTGGAAGAGTGGTAAATTCATCTCACTGTGTCCCACCTCTTTGGGAAAGAAAGACAAGCAGCAATCTGGAAAGGAGCTGTTGCCATTTATCCTCTGCAAACTGGCCCACCCATGACATTCGTTTATCTCACCCAGCCTCACGCACAATACCTTACTAAATTGGATACAGCAGTAATTTTACATCCTCGTAAACAATTCAGCTGGGCATTGAGCTCTGCTTAAACAGCTAGTCTACTTTCCAAATTTGAGCTAGTCCAACCATCTTGTGCTGGTCTGCACCGAAATGCCATCTCACTGACATCAGTTACCTCCAGTACCACACCACCAGACCTATGCAAGGCTGCTGAGATGCAAAAGAAGCAGAAAAGAAGCCAAAAAAAAAAAAAAAAATTAAGCGGGACTTTCTGGGGGGTTTGGCAAAAGGCTTTTCCTCCACACGTGCTAACGACGCTCGGTGCTGCCCCGGCAAACTTTGCCGTTTTCCCCCAAAAAGCAAAAAAAAAAAAAAAAAGCCAAAAAAAAGCCAAAAAAAAAAAAAAAAAGTTCAGCTGGACTTTCTGGAGGGTTTGGGCAAGCTGCAATTTAAAGAAAAATCAACAAAAATCCAGCAAAGCAAAACAAAACAGCAAAAAGCTTTAGATAGTATAAAACAACGACCAGCTCGCTTATCTGAAAGCCTGTGTTGACAGTAGCAGGGAAGCAGTATCTCTTCATAGCCCTGGGTTTGTGAAAGCTTCTGCTGACTAAAAACCACCTTGGAGATTTGATTAATACCTGCAGTCAGGAAAGTTTTATATTTTCCTGTGAACGTTTTTGACAGAATCCCAAAAATTTCCCTTCAAAAATCTGTAAAGAGGTTTCACTATTTTTCCACTAAAAAGTTATTTTTGTTAAGCACTTTACTATCTTCAGGGATTTCACCCCCATTTTAAGAACTGAACACCAAAATATTTTAAAACATAGTCAGATCAAATGAAAAGGGTTTGGGTTTGCTAATGTTTTTTGAGTTGTCAAAAGGAAACTGTCCTTTGTGCATGAAAAAGCATATAAACACTGTCTGCAAAATACCCAAACTTGAACATTCCCATGAAAGTTTTGATTTTGATGAAAATATCTTATTTTGCCAGAAAACTCTTTCCCCATTAGTAGAAACTCCTTGGAATGTACGCCAGAATGGTGCATACATTCATCAGGACACCCAAATTTATAATCTCCTGGAGTGGGCTGGGGCTCTGTCCTTTCCAACAGCCACGGAACAATCTTTGAAAGTCACTGAGAAGAGATTGCCTGGAAATTCTAACCCACAAGAAGTGAGGGTCACTCTTCCCAGGAGAAAGAGTAAAAGGGTAAATTACACAGCAGGGAAAACTAATCTTATATTGAAAAACTGGACAACGAATCAGGCAAGTATTTCGGAAGCTTGCAGGAGAGTCTGTCATAACTTTATAGAGTTACAGAATGCTTTGGGAGAGAATGCACTCTTCTTCTGAAGTGTCTGATATGCTTTTCCTGCCCTGTCTGACAACTCAATGAAATATGCTTTCTTTACAGATTCATTAATGGTTTGAGCCAAGATGTCAACCTCACCATTGACAGCAAACGGTTCATTGCTGTTGAGAAAAACTACAGTGCTTCTGGGTACTCGCTGCTAGAGAGGGACAAGTAAGTTTCCCTTGCTGTGCTGAAGGTCCTTGCTGGGGCCTTTCCCGGGATACAATGGGGCTTTTCTTGGGTGAATAGCAAAACTTTCATTGCTATTGTCTTGGCATAGGGTTGTGGGTGCAGATGTTTGTAAAAAATCCAATTATTGACTCTGCACAGAGCAGGTACTCCATGGTGCACACACTTGTGTGTGAGCAGAAGCACCATGCATTTTGTTTGCAAAGTGCCCAAGCCAAAGGACAGCAAATCACCATCTCTGTGTGTAATACGCAGTCGAATAGATTCAGCCTCCAAACAGTGTCTGAGATGTTAGCTCCCTTCCTGGGGCTGTTATTGCTTCGGTAAGATAAAATCAGTAGGGACCAAGGCTGGGAACTTTATTCCCATGACAGGAGTATAATGACATCCCAATTAAGGCCATAATCTGGGTTTTCTCAAAGTCAGGTCAGGGTAATTTTGGAAACCCAAAAAATCTTTTGAAGAAGTCTAGATAGAGCTTTTATTCACATTATGTGGGGACCTGGAGGGAAGAGGCTGGCCATTTCTGTGCATCTGTCAGCAGAGTAAGGTGGGACATCGTGAAGTTCCCCCTGCCATTTGATGCCTGCTGTATTTTGATATTCTCTCATGCCTAAACTCTTAGTGTTAGGGTGCTCTCAGGGAAAGGCAAATTCTCATTCCATGCTACAAAGCATTGGTATGTGGGCTGGTAACATCAAATAACGTTACATGGCTTTGCAGGCTGGGCTTGTTAGGCAGGGGCTCCATATGGCCTTGGTTTGGCAGCACTGGAGTTGGCTCTTGTAGGGTATTTCTGGCATTTTCAATGTTTCAAAACAAGCTTCATGGCTTTTCTCTGCATCAGCTCCATCCAAAATATTTATCGCTGCAATTTAGTAGAATGCAGCAGCCATTGTGGCAATGCTGCTGAGCCTCCGTGCCATCTCACACATCCAAAATCAGAAAAACAAATATGAAGGCTAATTTGCTTTATTGAAAGGAAACAAAGTGGCTTGTGGGTGCATATCTCTGGTTTCCTGAAGGCTGCTTGAGCTTGGCTGACTTGTCTGGCCCACAGTTCCTGAAGGAATGGAAAAAAGTTTCGAAGGAAAATAAACTGGGGAGGGGGGAGGAGTGGAGCGGGGAAGCAGTTCTAGGAAGAATTAGAAACCATTTTAAAATGTTAACAATATCCCAGGTCATCAGGTGAACTCTGGGCAATGCCTAAGCATTTCTGGAAGGAAAAGATGGCAAGTGCTCTAGTGATCATCTTGCATAAACGTGACTGCAGCTTTACACCACACATCCTCCCTACTCCATTGTAGGGGCATGTTTGATAGCTCTGCTCTCTGCTCTTTGTCTGTGGGACTAACTGGGAAATACTGTGCTTCATCACTGTATCTAGATATAATAATGGAAAATGCATGACTGAAACAGGAGAATTCATCCTGGAACTAGGGCTGCTCGACTTCGGCGCATCCTACACCATTGTGATAACCAACGTAAGTGTCCTTATGATAGTAACAACCTGCTTCTGTCCTAGTCTCTGGCACTGCTGGCAGTGCTTTTTTTCTTATGTTTGTGGCACTCACATGCTTTTTCCACGCTGTGAGACCTGGGCAGTAGCCATGAAGGCAGTTCATTATATGAGGGCCAGTAAAAGGTTTTGGCCCTTGTAAGGGCCAAAAAGGTAAGTGAGGTGGGTGAGTCTCATTCCACCTTCCACTGTGACCTTGTCAGATCTCATGGGTTAAACAAGAAGTAAGATCTTTTCTGTGATGGAAATCCTCCATGTGACCTGTGATTTGTGCTGGTCTCGTGCCGTCCTTGTTCAGTTAACATTGAGCCAGCACACTGCAGAGCCATTACAGTCTGCCGAGAGCTGCTCTGCCTGTGGTCTCTAAAACACTGTACCTGGCAGTACCTCACACCTGAAGAACTCTGCAGAAACAGTCTGCTGTATCTTCACTTTTAACTTACTGATCTGAAGGCTGATCTTCCAAGACTTGTGGATTATGCATGGGAGAAAGAGGAACATTGCTAAGGGAGGATGTTGGTGAGACTGTGCATCTGTTTTTCCTCCTCTCACTGTCTGTACAGCTCATTTGGAGCCTAGCGTAAAGTCAAAGTGTGGTTTTCTGAACAACCTAGCCCTGTTGGGGCGTGAGCACTGCTGAGAGGGTGGATTCCTTTCCTTGCCTGCCAACCTCTTAGGCATGCTGCTCCAACCCTAGTCCAGCTGGCAGGAGCCACAGAGATGAACGTGATCAGCTTGGTTCCCACTTTAACCTTTCCACTGCACAGGCACACAGACAAACCAGGTCTGACAGGACACACTGCTAAGCTGCCCTCTGGGACTTTGACTACTGTGTTGTGATGAGCAGAACAAAGTGTTGTCAGCTACTCCCTGGCAGTAACATCTCCCTGTTGGGCAATTAATAGGAGCTGTTCGTGTCTGCAGAGTCCAAATATGTAGGGGGGAAAATATAGCTGCAAAGCACCTGGTGGGTTTTTTTTTTAACTCCAATAGCTGGAGTGGGATATACAGTCCTGGAGGGAACAGGCAGATGCTGCCATCTGTGAGTGCAGAGATTTATGCATATAAAACACATACACATTTGAAATGACACTGGCCAGACCCTTCCTCCATAGCTGCAAGCCTCTTTCTCCAGATGAGAAACCAAGTAGAGAAGTTGCATGAAGAATATTATATGAAGAATATTGCCCCAGAGCCTCTGGTAACTCTGGTAACTGAGTCGAGGCCAGTTAAGGTAAATGTCCCATGTCACTGGGGGCAAGAATTCCAGTTTGTGGTCCCATCTACAAAAGTCCCTGTTGTAGCCATGGCTGCTCAGGGGTGTCTCTGTGCCTCAGCCCTTCTGGACCTTGTGCTAGTGCTTTAATCTATGTGACCCTCTATTTCCACCTCTCTCCCTGTGGTTTCCTCCTTCTGTAGAGAGTTAGTTTGCTCCAGGCCAACGTAATTTTTAATTATTGGAGTGATTTGTACTGAGCCCTGCTCCTTTGCCAGGAGTGCTATATAGAAGAACTAAGAATGCAATATATTAGTCTACTAATGTGGCTGAACTGTGATACTTAAATCATGGGGATGCTGCCTTCTACCCATCCCTCCTCAGTGTGCAGTTATAGTATGGTGCTTGTGACATTTCTTTATGGGCTAAAGAGCAATGCACAACTCTCCTCTCACCCCTTTTAGCCTGCTAAAATACAGTCCCTTGATTTGCCTCCCTGCGCGGTGATTAAGTACATCTCGTAAACATGCCTTGTATTTTCCCTAGTACTCTCCTTAAACACGGGCTTTTCTGCCTGAAGTCATTTCAGCCTAGTGCTTTCCTGGCTACCAGTCAAATCTCTCTCTGCCTCTTTGCATCAGAGGCAGCATTAATTGCATCTGGGAAAGCAAACAAAGAGAATTAGCAATATAACTACCATAACTGTCTGAACACATCTGATATGGGACAGTCTCTGCTACTTGGTATTCCTGTTCTTGGTATTCTGGTTCTTAGTATTCCTGGACTGGATCTGTTTGGGTGTCACTGTTATTGCAGGAGAGTTTTATGTTGCCGATTAAATGGGAGCAGAGGCCACATGGATGCAATGAGCATTTATCCTTTTGTCCTCTTCTGGCCTTGAGGACAGCAGCAGGTCACAGGCTTTTCCCAATCTCACTGCAAAAGGCAACTTTTTTGTAATAACTCATGCAGCTCTTGTAGCATATGAAGGAGCTGGGATGCCTCCATCCTGTCACCTCTGCCCTGTGCAGTAAGAGTCAGCTTGTTCCCTGCAGGCTTGGAAATGGCAGGGGTCAGACACAGTGTTTTGCTTCCAGGACAGAGCTTTGCTTCCAACTTTACTTAAAACTTCATTTTGGTAAATTTGCTGTTGGAGTCCAGGCTAAGAAGGATCTTATCTTTGAGCAGCTAATCAATGTACCTTTATTTCCCTGCTAGGTTTCTGGAGGTGCTGTTAAGATATGGAAGTCAGAAGACATCAAAGCCAACAATGTCCATATGGCTTGGCAGTTACCACAATACTTATTAATATCTGCTGGAGAGGTGATGTTCTCCATTACGGGTCTGGCCTTCTCCTATTCTCAGGTACTACACTGAAAGATAAGGGGCTTACAATTAGACTTCAGGATTTATTCCTTCATCTGCCATTGACTTGTCCTTTGACATGACACTTACTGACAATGTTATCTGTGCTTCAGCTAAAAGTAGGATTATAACACCACTTGCTGGCTTCCCTCAAGCTAAATTAATTCACACTCTGAAGATACCTGTTCTCAATTATACTCAGGAAACTCCTTTTCTGGTACAGCTGGGAACATAGAACAGAACTGGATAGAAGTGTATTTTAATGTGAAGGCTCTGAATACTGTAATATCAGGCTTTTCTCCCAGTGAAATATTTTGTGGTATGTATTTTCTGGTGATAAAAAGGCAAAGGTATCTCAAAGACTACAGAGTGGCATTGGGGCTTGGGACCTTCTTTAAGCAGAGTTTGAAGGGGCCTAATCCTACCCAAGTCTATAACAAGGGACCAAGGGGTGATGACTGTGCAAGGAATGGTTTGACTCTGGTATACTCTGTTGTCTGGGGAGAACATTTATGAGAAGAGAGGACTGAGACATTACAAGACCAAAAAGCTGAGGCTACTCAAATTGGAGTAAGGTGAAGATGTTTACTAATAAGAGCTATTAATACAGTGGGATGATCTGTCATGGGATGTGGAAAATTTGTCATCAGCAGGAAGCTTAACACCAAGATCCAGTCTCTTTTGCAAAGGTGTCCAGCCACATGGCACCAGATTCCAAGCTGCAGGGCTTGTCATGTGGCTCCCTGAGCTTCCTGATCTTACATTTTCAAATGATCCAAGTTGAGAATGATCAGGATCCAGTTCTGCAATGACAGCATCTCCTTCTTCCTGTGTCCTCTTGGAGGACATGTTTCAAAAGCTCCTTGTATGCAGCTGTTGAGATTAAACACTCTGCACAGAGGAAATTCCACCATCTCCTCTTAGGCTGAGCCCGGGAACACCTACACCAGACAGGACATCACAAGGGTGAACCAGGGCAGAAGGACACAGCATGGTACCCACTGATCAGGCCCTTCTCCTCTTTTCAGTCTCCAGCCAGCATGAAGTCGGTGCTGCAGGCAGGCTGGCTGCTCACCGTGGCTGTTGGGAACACCCTTGTGCTTGTTGTTGCCCAGGCTGCACCAATGGCACAGGTATGGTTTGGATCTTAAAACAGAGGTAATGCTTTAAAGCAGGCACTGGATGGTGCTTCTGGTTATCCGTGTCCTGGAGCCACAGCTTCCCTGCACAGCCCCAGGCTCCTGCAATGGAGTTATGGCAGCCTGGACCCAGCTGCCTTACAGCCAGGGCTCTGCTTTGCACTCAGTGATGCCCTCTGAAGCAATGGCTTTCCCTAAGCCTCACAGTGGCAGTAAATAATACTGTGACCTGCACTGTGATAACATTGCTGGAGCTCAGCTCCAGGCAAGCAGGCTGTATTTGGGCCTGGAGCCTGGACATGATGCCAGCCACGCGTTGTGGTTGCTTACCAAAAGCAGCTTGCGTTGATCCAGCTAGCCCAGTGGGCAGGCAGCCTCTTCAAGTGTCTAGCTTGGGACTCCTCCAAGGGCAGTTGCCCATAGCACCCCTGAGATGTTGGGCTTGCATGGGGAGGTTGTGGTGTGGAGTTTGTTGAATTCAAGCCATCAGACTTCTGGGGTGGCATTAAGGTGTGAACTGAGGCTTGTTTCTGGCTAACATGAAACTGCCTCTCCCAAAGGCATCTGGTGGGCAAAAAGCCCAGGCAGGTATGTTCCAGTGAGGACAGATTTGTAAGAAAATATTTCATGAGAGTAGTCCAATTTAACCAGCTAGTTTCAAGGTATGTCACGTATTCATGATTACATTTTGTATAAATGGGTTTGCCTGAAAACAAGATGAGGAAGTTTCTTTCTTGTGAGCAATCCTGAAAGCTAAAAAGTCATTTTCACCCAGCTCTTTAAAAATCACTTGGAAGTGCAGAGAAATCCTCTGGACTGAGAGTCTGGGGTCTCCTGACCTGCTGTTCTTTTTTCTTTCCTAGTGGGCTGAATTTGTCTTGTTCACTGTTCTCCTCTTTGCTGTGTGCATTGTCTTCTCCATCATGGGATATTTCTATGTCAGTGTGGATCCAGAGGACCTCCAGGAAAAGGAAGAGAAGAGAGACACCACAAGCAGCGGAAACATGATTGGTCTCGTTACTCAGAAAACAAATTTCTAACACATCATGGGTTGCGATTTTTTTTTTTTAAACTCAGTAGATGGGAGGGTAAAAGAAGGGTGGGGACAATGTTTTTTATCTTATAGCATTGCAGTCTTTATTACTCAAAATGTAGCCACCTTCTAAATGGGACCAAATAGCCCTCTATAAAAACAATGGGGGTCCTGAAATCAGGGCAAAACTCCCTGGGAAAGCTCCTGTGGTATTAAAAGCCTGTGTAAGTAAATGCAGTGTAATTTAAAACCTGCCCATCTTTTTAATCATGGAATGCTTTCGTATGATTTTGTTTTAAACACATATTTAGTGCAGCAGGGAGGAAGGGTGGAAGGAATGCCGTCTGACAGCAAAATTTGGAGATCTTGGGAAAAAAGAATGAAAACCCAGTACAGGAATTAAGGAAGAAGAAATGTTACCAACAGAAGAATTTTTAGTGCTGTCATCAAGGACTGGAAGTGTTACACACAATCCCAAAGGATTTTATCATGTAACACTCCTTATGAGTATTTCACCCCATTATTGCATGTTATGACTGGTCCTGATTTATGACTTTCGCCTCTAGGCTCAGAAGTAATAACAGGGAATTAAATTCTGCAGGCTAAAATATTCCCAAAACACTACTGAAGAAGATGTGCTTGCTGCCATCTCTCTGATACCCATTTTTTCCGACAAGTTTTTGGCAACTGATGGCGCTCTTTGATTAGATGTGATTAGAGAATTGGTTTAGGCTTTTTTATTTCAGAAATCCAGGCAGTTATTTGCCATCTTCCTATATATTAAGCCTTTATTGGGCATTTCCTTTTACAGCACCTGCGACTGCAAGTTAGAATATGGTTGATTTCTTGTCTCATGCTTTAGTTATTCCCCACTGGGAGACATGGTGCAGCAGTTTCTATAAAATTCCAGTCATCTTGCAGTGAATTAAACAAGGATGCACTTTATCATTTTTTCAGTCTACAAGAGGACATCATGGCGTAGGAGATTTTCATTTTCTTCTCTGGTTTTGTGTCTCTCTACCAAACTTTGGACACAGCTATTTTATCAGAATTGTGGTATAATTGTCTGATTTTCCTCACATGCGTGAAGCTGTGATTTCATGTTCTGCGTAGAAGTAATTCAACCATTGCTGATCTAGTAAAATTCCTGAGAGAGTCCCTGCCTTCCTCTATTGCTCTGAGACCACAATTGTAACAGGAATGGCCTAATTTACAACAAGGCTGTCAACAAGATCATCAGGTTCACAGAGAATAGATTTTAAATTATGCTTTCCTCTTCCATCTTGGGATTGGCCAAAGTGGGTACTGATGCTTTGATTCAGGCTATCAGGAAATACATGTTTAATTTCATTCCTGTTCAGGACAGTGCTAAGGAATACTCTTAGCTTGACATCTCTGCTACTTTAATGTGTCACTTTCTGTGTGTGTTTTCTTGAGTAAGGCTGAGAAAACCCCACTTTTGGTTTATAACTGGAAGGCTCACAGCCTCTGATCGTTGCCTTTGCTTCCTCTCCTAAATGGTCATGAACTTCTACCACTAGTTCTACATAAGCTGCTGCCTGCTGTGAAATAGCATCTGGGTCTTGTGCCAGAGGGCGTATTGTGGGCTCAGATAAGTGACAACTGGCTGTGGGTGTGTGCACAGAAACACTTACTGTGGTTCAGTCGATGCAGACCCATTATTTAAGCTGTGGCGGCTGGATCCAGGCGGCTGAACCCTGCGACGCAGCGGGGAAAGAAGGGCATTGAAAGCCATCTATTAGGTCATCCGACCTGCTCCTCAGAAGCCAAGTGAGGATTATTCCCTCTGCTCCTTTCTGGTATTGTTCTCCTGCCGTGATTCTTTGTGTGGGTTCTTTCTCCTCCAGTTATTGTTGTTTTCCTAATCCTGTTTTATGATACACTGCGAATCAGCTCAGAGGCTGCTGAATCATTCTGCTATGATGCTGTTTGACTGGCTTCCAATTTGAAGCACTAATAGAAAGCATTTCGTCCTCCCCCCCGCAAACAAAACAAAAATCCCCAAACTGAAGGAATGGACAGGCTCCAGTAACACTGAACAGACACAATTTAGAATTATTGGGGCATTTAATTTTTTATAAGCCTTGAATTTGGAAGTATGTTGAAGTTTGAGGGCATATGTGGTGAAGAGACAATTGAAAATTATTGGAGCACTTTCCTTGGGAAGCACTTGGTACATCACAGCTCAAAGTGGCATGAGGGAGAGCAAGTTGTCCAGAGGACATGATCTTTAAGACTACATATGCTCAAGAACCTCTTGATTTTTATGTTTTATTTCCTAACTGGCGGCACTACCAGAAGCTGTCACACACTCTGAGCTTAATTTAAAGGAATCATTCCAAACTCATAAAAGATACATTTAGGATGTCATCTGTATCTGCTTTTTAGACTCCTGATGCCAATTTGCCCTTTTCCAAACATCTCCATGCTCCAAATCATCACCATAATGGGGAGGGGGAGGTGGGAGGGGAGTGTGTGTGTGGAAGAAAAATTGCAATTCACAGTTGGGGAGGCAATGAAAAGGAAGGCAGTGCTATAAATAAAGTGCTACCATGAGGCTGGGGGCTGCTCCTGCAGCCCCTCTGGGGAATTGCTTGCCCAAGGGGGTGTAAGGCTCTGTTCACATTTCTCTTAACAGCTGACGCAGTTACTTCTTCCCACCTGCTCATCATCAGCCATTGGAAGCTTTGTCCTCCTCCAATCTGCCTGCTTGGTTGCTGGTGTGATCCTTCCCCACTGTTTCAGCTGCAGTCGTGAAGCTTTGCTAATTGGACCCATTTTTTTGAAAAGCACTAGCAGGTTGGAGGGATTTCCACTGGGCATGCTGACAACTAGCCAGGAGCAGGCTGAGGGCTGTAATGAAGAGCTGCCCTAGCTGTAGCTGGAGAAGGTGGCAAAATAGCACATTCAGCACAGCACTTCTCCAATTTTAGGGCCACAACTCCATCCTCGGAGCCCTTTCACCATTTTCAAATGGACTCAAGACTGGATCAAAGGTTTAGGACCTGAATCTGTGGAGCATTGAGTTTTCTGTATTTTTCTTCCATATAGTCAGCTCAGAGCTGGGATCATGCACAGCTCTTAACACTCAGTGTTAGAACAATACGCCTTATTTTTCCCAGTTCTTTGATTTAGGATTAGAGAGGGAAGCCAAAATAGTGATAGTATGTGTAAAGCTACGTGAAGCTGTATGGAGAAATAACAGCCTGCTGCCTGTCTAGCTTCACCTGTCACTGAAACGAGTCTCACCTGTTGGTGGAGTTTGCCCTGGAGCAGATTAGGGAAAGCTCACACCAGCTGTTTTGGAGGCTGACCTACAGAAATGATCATCTCTAGCTAAGGGAAAGCAATGAGCTGGGGGGATCTGTAGGTATGTTGCTGCACAAGCCTTCATGGAGACTGCAGGGGGTTGGCTTCACTGTGGAGGTATGTGTGTTTTTCTGTTTTTTCTGAAGGATACTTTCTGATAGTTTTTTTTTTCATGCAGCAAACTTCCCTTCAGTTGCACTGGATGTTATCCAACACATTTTTTTTAGCAGGTTATTAAGTGTTATTTCCAGCTTTGCATGAGATAAGCATAAAAATAAGATTTCCAATTCAGCAAAACAACTTCTTTGCTGTGTATTCCTTAAATTTACCTTTTCTTTCTGAACCAGTTGAATGCCTTTTAGAGCAAGCTGCTCTGTGCAGGTCAAGGAACTTGCATCTCTCTTTTCTTCCCTCTGCCTTTCCAAATGGTTTTGAAGGATTCCAGAAGATGAGCCCTGGGAGGGCTGCATGGAACTGGCTTGGATGCACCTGGTGAGGTCTGGCTAGGCACAGGAGCTGGTTCCTCTCTGGAGACCCAAATGGGGCTGGGCAAGGTGGCCTGGGGCAGGACTTCTTGGAAGATGTGGTTTTTCTGAGCAGTGAAATTTTAGCAAGGGGATAATCTCCTCATCTCTCAGTATTGAATTTTTTTTTTTTTGCCTAGCTACAAGAAACACTTCCTAGCACCAGCAGCTTAAACCTGGGAGTTCAGCTCCATGGCAAATACCACAGCTGCTGAATTTTGGATTATACCAGACTCTGCATTTCATTATCACTACATTTGTTATTGTGATATAATTTTAAAACAGCATTTAAGAGATGTTTCTGGTCCCAGATGTTGATAGATCTGGCAGGGCTTTGTATGTTGATAGCTGGATTTAAGCTAGTCTTTCATGTTAACGTGTGTGATAAACCTGTCATGTACAAGTAGATGTTGCAAGCCCTTTGGATTTCCCCAGTGCTTTAGTAGAAAAAAAGCAAATTCTCCAGTAAAGCTGGCTAAACATGAACTGTGGCGTTGCTTGCTTGTCAGAGCTGACCACGTGCATTGGAAAGCAGGGACCCTCATTCACCTCTTTGGTGAGGCTCGATGAGGCCCTGGGCAACCTGGTCTAGTTGAGGGTGTCCCTGCTGACTGTGGGGAGGTTGGACTAGATGACCTTTGGAGGTCCCTTCTGGCCTGGACAATTCTATGATTCTTTGCAAAGTGCTTCCCAGAAAGACAAAAATGGGGGATGCTATTAAACATTTTGCTTTGAGAAGGGCTCACACTTCAGAGCCCTTGTAGAAATTGCATGAAGGAGAAGAATTGCTTTGCTTAAAATCCCTCCTTCATTGCCATCTCAGGTGGTCAAAAAGGAATGAAACAAGTTGTTTCTTAGTGAGCTTTGAATCAAGGAGCTGCTGCATCTTCTCAAGGTCTTTCCATGCTGTGTTTTACCAGGAGATCAGCATTAACCTGCGTCTAGTATGTGTAGATCAGAAGATTGCAGGGGTGCAGAGCAGCCCACTGCAGCCTCCCACTGTCAGCTGATCAGGTCCTATCTCTTCATTTTTAATGAATAGTTTTTGCAGTTATCCTGCAGGGCTCAGCCAGATTTGGTCTAAAATTAGGCCAAAACTAGGGACCCGAGAGACTTGTATTCAACAAGATAAATAGAAAAACTCTCAAAAAGCTGGTAAAACGCTTGTTTAGTGCTTAATTAAAATTTTAATATGCTTACAGAAAGTAAAAACCTAAACCAGAATGTAGCAGTTCAGTCTGAGCAATGAAGAGCTACAGTTGGAATTCAGCAGCATGGCAACTGGCAGCCAAGCTGAAGATAGAAAAAATCAAGCAAACATCACTTTTTAGATTATTTTTTGTCATTGCACATGGTGTTCAGTCAGCTTGGCCTGCCCTGTTCAACCCATCCATGTGTGTAAGGAAAAGAAGCTGAACTGACTTGTGGAAGACACCTACCCTTCCCAAGCTGCAGCTTGCTTTTTGCCTTGTTGCAGACTCCCAAGTTAGATCCAAACAACTCCAGCAGTCATCCCCCTCATTCCCACACGCTGATTCCCTCCCCAGAAGTCAGGCAAATTTTTCCCTGGTGACTTTGCCAGCCCTCAGCACCTTGCTTATTCCTCCTCTCATGCAACTTCTCTGCTGACAGCAGCAGGATGTCATCTTGAGGGTTGTCCTGGGTAATGCTGCCCAAATCTGCTTGGAGCCTTTGTTTGGGCTCTTTCTCTGTTCAACCTGTGCATCAAAACACTCTCCGTGGAGGCTTTCATGGTGTCCTCACCAAAGACAGGAACCTCTCAAAGGTACTGTGCCAATATGCATTTTTCCTGCCCAAGTTAGAGGTGAAACAGGCCAGCAGGAGTTCAGCAGGTGCCAGGAGCTGCTGCCTTTCGAAAAGATGACGCGCTGTCAATCACAGCAGCTCCCCACATGTGGGGCCATGCTGCCCGGCTCCCCCTGCACCCTGAGCTTGGCAGAGGCCAGTGGATGCTTGGATGCCTCTCAGGGGGCTGCAGCTCCCAGGTCCCAGCATTGGCAGCCCACCTGTGTGCCATTCATGGTCTGTCGACACTGGCTTTGCTTTCTGATGCTTCATACAGCTAAAAATCTGCAGAGCAAAGAGAAGAAAGTTCCCTCCTTCCATACACTGTATTTAATTTACTTTTCCCCTCTCCTTTCTCATTCCCAGCCAGTGTCATTAGCTGTCCTGTTATTTCTTTGCACCATCCTTCTGTACATGCTGATTAAAACCACAGGGCTTGTGTTTCATTTCTCACAGCACTCCTCAAACTTCTGTAATGCAGGCTCTGAGTTCCCTCTTCTGTTTCAGCTGGAAACTATTAAAAGCCATTGAGTGCTTCAGAACCAGCTGGTTTTGTCTAGTGAAGTTCTTTTTCTGCAGTTTTTTTACTGTGTTTACATCCATCACTCACAGTTATGGAGTGAGACATTGCTCCAGTCTTCTCCTGTCAACCCTCACCTTTCCGGAGAAGGCCGGACTTTTAGCTTTTCCATAAAACCGTGATCTTCGGTGCCTTTAGTCCTAAGGCTGGTCGTTGTTCAGCATCCCTTGAAGCTGAGGATTTAGGCTCCTTCCTTTGGCTTTTCACTTCCATCTGCTCAGCATTTCTTAGCTCATGTCACTGTTTTACACCTCCTGGGGCCCACTGACCTGCTGGGCTGAAAAGGAGCAGAGAAGTCATCCTGGTGGTTTCAAAAGATGCACACCTAGACTGAACCTGCTCAGCTCTGAAAGTTTTGAGCTCCTTTTCAGCTTGTTAGAGGAAGAGCAGGCACTTTTCCCTTGAAAGGCGTGCTCTCATGCCTACTGCATCCTGCTCTGCCTGGGAGGGGACACTGCCAGGTCAGAGCAGCTCTGCCATCCCTGGCACTTTGCTTCTGGCTCTGCATTACCTGGCTTGGATTCATCTACTCTGGCCCTCTCCTTGGGGGGTCTCTCACAGTAGTGATATTCACTCCAAGGGAACCATTGTGTCCAACAACTTATATGACCAGTGTCATGATGTTACTTGTGGTGACATCCATTTATTTTGCCTCTTCAATCTCCACTGTTCCAGGTTTCTGCTGGAGTTTCTCTCGATTCAGACTGTCAAGCTCTTGCCAGTTTTGTCTTCCTCGTCATGGCTTCCCATTATCAATGCTGTGCTTGGAGTCCGAGTGCCCTTCACGCCACAGATCTGCAAGCTAAGTAAACTTAGCAAATCATTAGGGCAGACTTTGACCGCTTCTGTCTCCATCAAAGACTGGGATTAAATTAGGTCCCTTTGATAAACTGAGCTGATGGACCAATTTGGATTGCACATGAGGTATTATGAGCCTCGCGGGGCTTATGATTAAAAGACATAAGAGAATGCAATTATTTAGGGAGCTCCTGGGAGATTGCTGTAACTCACTAGTCACTCCTTTATCAGAACAAAAGAAAAGCCCAATTCTGCAGGGTGGCAGGTGTCCCCCGGGAAGTGTGTGCAAGCCTCTAATTGCTGGGGGAGGCAAGAGGCACGTTTGTCTCCTGCAGGGGAATGTAGGGGAGGATGTCATTCCAACTGTTTCTGTTCCCAAGGCACTTGCTCCAGGAGTGAAACCTTTCACACAGGTGGCTTCTTTATCTCTTTCAACAGTTGCTCGGGAGTTTTTCCCTCATAAACCACAGTTGCAGCAAGATGGAGCTCAACTGGGTTTCATTGCTGGACTCTAATCAAATCCTGACCTGCACAGGGGGCTCACTGCAATCTAGGACTCCCTGCATCAAATCCTCCAGCCTGGGGCTGGATCCTGACCCAGCAGGAAAAGCTCTGTTAGCTTAGGCTCTGCACCAAACCCTGAAGATAAGGAATGTCTGACTGGACACAAATACAATTTTGCCTGTTTTTTTTTTCTCTCAGGTTACTGAGTCAGAGCTGGATGGCATATCTAATTCTAGTAGGGCTATTCTTCTATCTTCTTTTTTTTTTTTTTTCTCATGCTGCATTTTAATTACAACATTTAGAATACATCCAAATAGCTTGAGCTCAAATTGATCTTGTTTTTCAGCCAGGAAGCTTGTTTTTCATCTATTATAATAATAAATGTGCTATTGATAATAGTTTAGGTGCAATACAGAAAAGCTTTGTGTTATGCATCAACTCTGGAGGGCCAAAATTTTCTTATTATCCAGTATTGATATGACAGTTTGCAAATATTTAACAAATAAATTACCAGGTTTTCCTTGTTCCCCTCTCAGTTTCCGTCTTTTTGACAGCTGAATTACGGATTAATGATGATCTTGTTTAAGACAATTGTTTGCTAGCAGGTCTATTCTGTAAACCTGCAAGTGCAGTAGAACTAGCACTGGCATTTTGAATTAAATCTCATCCTTGAAGCAAATTTTTTAGCTTTATTCCTTCCAATTCTCCTAAGTAAAAATCGGATTTGCCCAGTAAAGTGCTTAGGCCTGTTATTAATTTCTTAGTTTATGTAGTCATTTTAAATATAGAAGCTTAACATGAAGGGCTGGCAACAGGAGCTGTTTTTCTCTCCCAATTCTGAGCTTGCTGCCTCTGTACGGATTGTAAGTGCTTTGAGAGACAGGTCCTTTCCGAGCGCAAGCAAGGACATCACCTTGAGCCTTTGTAGGAAAGAGAGATCCAGAAGAATTTGCTGGATTTTGTCCTTGGTAAAGCACTGGAGACAGAACTGGGAAACATTCAGTACAGGTCCTGGGACTGGTGAAACACGTCCATGATTCTGCAGCACCTTCCTCTTCACCTGCTCCAGGGTAAAGGAAAGGGCTGAAGCTCCAACATCTACCTGGGAAGATTCGGCACTGGTGAGGCCTCACCTTGAGTACTGTGTCCAGTTTTGGGCCCCCTACCATAAAAAAGACATAGAGGTGCTGGAGCAGGTCCAGAGAAGGGCGACAAAGATGGTGAGGGGTCTGGAGAATAAGTCTTATGAGGAGAGGCTGAGGGAACTGGGGTTATTCAGCCTGGAGAAGAGGAGGCTGAGGGGAGACCTTATTGCTCTCTACAACTACCTGAAAGGAGGGTGTAGAGAGGTGGGGGTCGGTCTCTTTTCTCAAGTCACAGGCGACAGGACGAGAGGAAATGGCCTCAAGTTACACCAGGGGAGGTTCAGGCTGGATATTAGGAAAATTTTTTTCACTGAAAGGGTTATCAGGCATTGGAATGGGCTGCCCAGGGAGGTGGTTGAGGCACCATCCCTGGAGGTTTTCAAAAGAAAGGTTGATGTCGTGCTGGGAGGTATGGTTTAGTGATGATGCTCCTTGTTTGTTGTGCGGGTGTCTATTTTTGTCAGTTAGGTTGACGGTTGGACAAGATGATCTTTTAGGTCCCTTCCAACCTAGAAGATTCTGTGATTCTGTGATTGTTTCTGGTGTAGCTGGACGCATGTGAAGCAAGGAGGGTTCTACACCCCATGGAAAAGCCTGATGCACCCCCGGGGGGGGGTGGTCAGGGGCACTTTCTGGGGGAAAACACAGCACCA